ATAATATTTATTGTAAGTACCAATTCTTGTTTCCCATGAATAGTAAATATTTAATGGTTAGATCTTTCTATACAGTTTGGAATGTATGTAAATTATTTTCACTTATTTTTTATTTTTTTATTACTGTTTTCTTTTTTTCAAAGACGCTCAGAGTGTTTTTCGTACTGGGTGGATCAGAACCAGTTCTGTCTGGAAGAAGCCTGGGTTAGAGGAAGCCATAGAGAGCACTTGCGCCATGAGAGATTCATTTCTTGGGAGCATCCCTGGTAAAAACGCAGCCGAGTACAAAGTCATCCTTGTGATTGAGCCTGGGCTGCTTTTTGAGATAATAGAGGTGAGTATCCGTTTGTCTCTTCGGAAGGGATGTTCGTATCCTACCGCTTCACCTGAAATTTGGCTTTTAAAAATCTCTGTATAAGTAAGGTTTTTTTAGTTTAGAGATCTTGTAATCCTGATATTATCACAGGTTCTTTGTTTCCTCCTTCTCTATGCTTCCTTTCCCTTCTACAAAACATGCACTCTGTTGCTACATGCTTTGTAAGTTGGGACAGGGAAGGTGCAACAGAGTCCTATTTGAAATGCAAATCCTCAGGGCTGTTTAGGTAAGTGACAGAAACCGATGACATTATTATTACAATACACAAAAATTGAGGGTTTTGTGTTAAGGATCTAGTTTTCTGAGAATTTTGCCATCTGGACCAGGTTCAAAACAAATCTAAAAAAGATTTCCATCTTTTTCTCAGGAGATTTGAAGAAAATTCATTTGCTCCAGCAAATTACCATGCCATCTCAAAGCATTCCTCCTATTTTTGTTTCCAAAAGAACCATCAAGGTTTTCTTCTTGGCATTCTTAATGGTTCATTGGCCACATTGGCTTATAGCTTAACATATTGACTCAGGATTTTTTAATGCTTGAGAAGAGAATTGACAGTATGTTTTTTAAAGTTTTACTGCTATCATAGTTTTCTAAAAATGACCATCTCACTTGGTTGGTATGGCAGTATCGTAGCCAATGAGGTTTATCCGAGGCGCGATTATTGCTGATTGGTTGGTAAGCTCAAGTTCAGTTTTTAGTAATGTAATTAAGATTTGAGGCTTGCAGTCTGTAGGAGATTATTGATCAGACAGCAGATAATTTAAGTAAGATACTCACATTTTAAAATTTATAAGTTGGAAGGCACCTGGGTGGCTAAGTCAGTTTAAGCATCCAACTCTTGATTTTGCCTCAGGTCATGCTCTTGGTCACCTGATCGAGCCCTGCGTGGGGCTCGTGCTCAGCATAGAGTCTGAGATTCTCTCTCTGCTTCTCCCTCTGCCCCCCCCAAACTCTCTAAATAAATAATCTTTTTATAAGTTGGAAGGGGTTTGACTCTGACTCCTTTATTTTATGAGCAAGGAAACTGAAGACCACTGAAACTGTGACCTAGCTAAGGCTACCCAGCCTGGTATGGGGCTTTTCTCCTACATGTCTTGTGTCTTCTTGACTTCCTTAGTTCTGAGTAGTTAAGTTAAAAAAAATAGAGCTTGTTTGGATCATTTATATTGGAAAAAATACTTTGGGATTTTTAAAAATAATGTATTTTTCTTAGGAATTACACTAGCTGTCAGATGGAGTTCTGAATCTATGAATTACTAATTGCATGAATTTGTTAAAACTAATCTCTTTGAATCCCTGTTTTTTTCTTGAGTTTTTAAAAATTTCTATTTGAGAGAGTGTGCAAGCAGAGGGAGAGGGGCAGAGGGAGGGAGAGAGAGAGAGACTCTCAAGCAGGCTTCACACTCAGCACGGAGCCCAACTTGGGGCTTGAGCCTGTGACCCAGAGAGCATGACCTGAGCCAAAATCAAGAGTCAGCCACTTAACTGACTAAGCCATTCAGGCGCCTCTTGTTTTGTTTTTTTGGTTTTTTTTTAAAGCAATGTCTGTATTAGCTTATAAACTCATTTTGAAGATCAGAATTACAATGAAAAGTGTAAAAATGCTTATCAAACATCCAACTTTATTGTACTTGAGAATAGCTGTGTGCTTTATTCAGTTGGCACCTTTGGTCTGTGTTGCTAAAAGCAGGTCTATTTAGATAGTATCTTACCACCTCTCCTGATGTGGGAGGCAGGACACAGGGAAAAGCAGTCTGGGCTCTGTGGCTCACAGACCTGGGCTAGAAGTACAGCTCCACCACTTATGCTTGAGAACCACGAGTAGTTAACCTCTTGGAACAGGTTTCCTCGTTTGGAAAATGGGATAAGAAACACCATGATGATTAGAAATAATGGACATTTAGCATCTAGCATAGTGAAGTGCCTGTCATAGTGCATATTATATAGAGAGCACATACTATTGCCTGGAAATTTTTAATTAAAACCTTTCATTCTAGGGGCGGCTGGGTGGCTCAGTCGGTTAAGCAGCTGACTCTTGACTTTGGCTCAGGTTGTGATCTCAGGGTCATGGGATCGAATCCCGCATCCAGCTCCCTGCTCATCAGGGAATCTGCATAAGTTTCTCTCCCTCTCTCTCCCTCTGCCCCTCCCCCCACTCACTCACTCTAAAATAAAACTTTCATTCTAATTGATTTAATAGATTAGCTCAGGAGATAAGGGTACTAAAGGGTCACTCACTGAACACAAGAATTTGCAGCGTTAATTCTTCTAACCTCAGTTTGCAGTAAACATTTAGACAGTAACCTTGACATGCTTATTCCCAGATGCTACAAGCTGAGGAGACTTCCAGCACCTCTCAGTTGAATGAACTAATGATGGCTTCCCAGACAACTTTACTCTCTCAGGAACCACGATCAGTAACTACAGATGTAATTGAGCGCAAAGGGACATTCCTGATCAATTTAGAAGGTAAGGAGGAGGGAAAGATAACAGGTGAGATCTGGAGAACAGTGATAATCGTAGGTCGTCTCCAGCTTTGCAGGGGATCAGGTGTGTTCTAAAGGCAGGTATGTTCTTGGAGTACATCTTTTTATGGAAACTGGCCAAGTTTCTAAACCAGCTTTCAGAAGTGTCCTACACGATGATCTTGGGAACACAGGGCTGGTGAGAGGAGAGTGCTTTCCTTCCTGTCCTGTGAATAATGGTCATCGTAGGTGACGTTAGTTGGCCTCACTCAGGATCCTGGTCCTGCCTAGCCTGCCCCTCCCATTGTGGACTCGGAAATTTCTTACTTGCACACCCTATATTAAAAGATTTAGCCAATCTTCATGAAGGGTTAAGGAAGAAGTTTTATGGAACTCATTCCCACCGTGGGATCTCACGAGCAGGCAGTTGGTAGGTATTCAGTAGGGGACTTTTGTCTGCCTACTTCATTCTCAGTGATGGCGTGGAGGCGTGGTCACGTAACAGACAATGGCCGCAGGTACTGTGGGGACGGCGACGCTCCCCGTGTTCCTCATGGTTGTTAGGTGCCATCAGGAGGCGGGAGGCTCATTTGTGGGCATCAGTTGAAGTCTGAGGCCTGGAAGCACTGACCCTGTAGTAAAGATCCTCACTTGCTTTTCAAAATGTGAATGTACATTCTCTATATAATGGCTAGAAAATAATTTTCTTCACTGTGTATTATTTAGGCTGAAGTCTGAGAGTACTCATAGTGGAGAAATTTTTGTTTTTTTGTCTAAGACAAGGTTTTGTTTTTGTTTTTGTTTTTTTTAAGAGAGGGGTGTGAAAGAGAGAGGTGGAGGGAGGGGAGGAGGAGAGAGAGCTTGAGAATTGTAAGCAGGCGCCACATCCCACTTGGAGCCTGACCCTGAGATCATGACCTGAGCCGCAATCAAGAGTTGGAATGCTTCACCAACTGAGCCACCCAGGCGCCCCTAAACCAAGAAGGTTTAAGTGGGGACACTGCAGTTGGCACTATAATTTGGCTTTTTAAAAAATTCTTGTCTTGCTGGAGAGGCAGTGTAATTTACCAGCACTGAGCCCGGATGAAGAGCTAGAAGGCCTGCTTTGCCTGGGGAGATCGAGAACTTGTGACTTGGGGAACATCAGTTACCCTCTCACTCAGGGTCTCCGATCCCTCAGCTGTCCTCAGGGGTCAGGGTGTGAGTCCACTGTCACGGCTGTTTACGTAATGTGGCAAATGATGCCGTACTGACCAGCTTTCCCCAGGGGAGGGAGAAAGCTTTGAAAAAGAAACACTGGCAGAACCACTCAGGAAAGAGAGATACAAGGTGAAAGGCCTGTCAGTCTTCCTGTATCTTTCTCTCACAGGTGGGGATATTCGTGAAGAGTCTTCCTATAAGGTAATTGTCATGCCAACTACCAAAGAAAAATGCCCACGTTGTTGGAAGTACACGGCTGAGTCTTCAGATGCACTCTGCCCCCGATGCACAGAAGTGGTGAGTGGAAAGTAAGAGCCACTCGGCCGTCGACAGCTCTCTGAGCAGGAGCACCCTGCGAGCACCGAACGCGAGTTCAGAGGGCCTGTTCACAACACTGCAAAGAGGAAAGCCTAGGTTTAGGTAATGAATGGAAGAGTAAATGGTGGAGGATAAGGGTCAAATTTCAGAATTACAAGTTTTTCCTGTAGCAGATAAAAAACAATGTGTGTGTGTGTATATATATATATATATATACACATGCAGAAAAATACAAATATGCAGATGGGTCTCGATATATCCGTAATGGATTTATTCAGAACAGAGACACTGGGTATGTTTGACTTTAAATGTGGCTGACCAGAAAATGTTTTCTATTTTATAAAGCTTCTTGACTCCATATTTAAGTTCTGTAACGTCTAAAAATAAAGGCATCTGGAAATTTACTGATACTGAAGTTGTAAAAATCAAGTAAAAAATAGTCTTGAAGGAGAATGGCAAGAAGTGTGTGTTTCCCTTAAGAGAGAGAGTGATTTCATTCTGCCTTACTAGTGAACATCATCCTTTTCACAACAGCTAGGTTTTTTGTGTGCATTAGAAAGAAAACATCACCAAACTTGTTACTCTCATACAAGAGGGAAAAGAAAATCTTAATACTGGTATTTATGAATGTTGAGACAACATGAAAGCTGAAAGTTTATTTCACTAATATACATAAGTTCACAACACTGGACACAGAAAATAGAAGTATGTACAGAATGTCACTACTTACAGTACATTACAATAGATAACAGCATTTTATAAACAATTCAGTATTGGATTAAAACCTTTCTAGGGATGGCTAATTCTATTCAGCAGAAATCTAACTTTTAGAAGCCCAAAAAATTCATTTCTGTCAGGGTGAGGGAGGGCTTTCAGTGTTGCCATGGAGTACTTTAAAAAGATTTGTCTCAAATGAAATGAACCACAGCAACTCAATAAGTGAACATTATATTCCATGTAAGCTTAATATTATTAAATCTGTTTTAAGTTGTAATTAACCACTTAAAAAAAAAGCAATTTAAATGTAACAGTGCTTACTTGTACCTTAGACAAATTTTTATAACAAAGAGTGAAACTCTCTCCATTTCTTATTTTTCTTTTTGCAAAAGTATGAAGCATTTAGAAAGTTGGTGATGTGTTCCTCTTCACCTACGTTTATCTGGCTCTTCTAGTTCTACATTTAAACATAACCTGTAATGTAGAAGTTATGATTATTTGAACACTTCTGTTTTTCTTCAGCATTATAAAGTGGAATTTAACAAGGTACAGATGCCTGTTTAATGTTAATGAAGAAAGGTGTCAGGGGAGCGGGCAGTTCTCGCTAGGAAAACACTACTGTTTCTGGCTTCCCATCAGAAAGTGCAGCATACCTTTGTTTTAGAAATCACCCATCCCACATACAATTTAATTCCTTTATTTGTGGCTCTTTCTTGGTACAGAATGTATACACAGGTATTTTCTTCTCTCAGATTTTAAAATGCCTTGATGAAACAGTAAAATATTTCACTGCTTTTCTTAACCATATAGCTCAGAATTCAATTTTAAAATTCTTTGCACGGTAAACTTTAGGATCACAAAGGTAACTACAGATTTGTAATTCAGTGATCTGTTATGGTCCTGTGAACCATATTTCAGCTTATTAATATTCTCAACAATCCCCAGATCTGTGTGTCCTACGAGAATACGTTTAACCAGCTTTATTATCTAACATGTTTGTTTATCAGATACCCCCCTTCCCCCAAAAGTGATAATCGAATCAAAGTGAGGATGTAAAGTTTCTTTGACCAGCCTCCAACATTCATAACTACTTTCAGAGTATGTAGAAAAATCACAGGAAGAACGAATCTTTTAGAATGCATATAACACGTGACTAGATAAAGCTAGACAGGTTTACAAGAACTCATAGGACCGTGTCTGGATGGGCCAGTGGGGATCCCAGCAGAGGCGGGAGGCTGGACTAGCATAAGGTCCTTTTCGGTGCTGCTACTGAATACGGTGTGCGCCTCGGTCAGATTGACAGGCCCTCACCCAAATACCCAAGACCTCTTAAAACTTTATCTTTCAAGATTTTTAAATTAAACAGTAATTATTAAGTTCTAGACAAGTCTTATTTGGATGTCATCTTTTAGTTAAAAATAATTTAAATTGGGATATCCTCAAACATGAGAATTTTTTCTTCATATCCTTGAGGGGCATACTCCTCAGCTTTATACAATACAGTTGATAACGTTGGCTTCTTACAAGTAAGTGAAGCAACAAACTTCCGTATCACAGTGAGTTACTGTGAATAACAATCGTGATCCATGACAGAGAACAGTAATTGCACTGCATGGCTACATTCCAAAGATCTACCCTAATAAATATTTGGTATTTGTAGAGCTCAAAACACTTTGTTTACAGAGTTTTGGTTAATCTGGTTTTAATCAACAAGTAATTATTCAGCACTTGGACTGCTCTAGGCACTCTAGGGTACAAAATTAGTTGTATTTTATTCCCTCAACCCAGCTGTGAGGTAGGTTTGCAAAGCTACAATATCACTAGGCCTTTACTGTTCCCAAGAACAGATAACGTTACCATATCCCAGAAGCAGACATTTCTAAACACTTGTAGGAAAGATAAACTGGACTTAAATTTTTAGCATCTTTGCCTTTTTTTAAAACATAAATTTTACAAGATAATACATTTTTACAATGACCTGATGTGGATACAACTTCGAATCTTGGCAAAAAGTAAATCTTAACTTATATCGTACTTAATTTTGCTGTGTTGCTTGCGTCTCAGAATCTCAGTTTTGGCAAGGACAACAGGTTAAGGGTTCTAATGTTTAGTGTCCCTTCTGATGAATACGATGATCTCGAACCCATTCCTCCTCCAAAGCAAGGTCATCCTCCTCCGGTGGCGGCAGCATAAACCTCTGGGAAAGAACCTGTCCGCATCCAGAGCTCCAGGCGGCAGCCCAGGATGTTGGATTTAAGCATGCCCACAAAAGCGAGTGGGATGTTTCTCTAATTTTACTGATGGAGACTATACATGAACACATTTGAAATTTAATTACAGTAACATTTCGAGTACGAAATATAGAATCTGGTAAGAACATAATCTGTAAATTATAACCCATTTGAAATAGCAAAGTTTACCCATAAAGCTATTGAAGTGCTTAAATTAGAAATAAACAGTAAAACATCTGTGTTAGTAATTAATGGTATCATTGATATTTGTTTATATTTTATCTTCAATATTAACCAAAGGAGTGGAATTTAGCCAGGACTGCACTTTTAAAAAGTAGTATGTATTTTTATTCATTTTACAAAAGAAAAAAGACATACTCCCTCCATCAAATTCCAGATCTTACTATGTAAAATTACCATGCACTAATTCATGTTCTAGTCACACAATTTGAGACCGTTTTCGGTAGGGTAGGTGTCATAAAGAAGGGATAGATACGGCTTCCACAGCTTCAATGAGGTGTAAGGCTAAGCTATACTGCCCGTGGTTTTCTGGTAAAAGCTCGATGACTTTATTTACTAGTTTAGCTGTCGTTGCAATTGGCACTTCCGTGTTTTGAAGATCTTGGGGGTTCTGCAAATGGGACACAAAAATAATCAGTTACACACAACAGTAATCGTTACTCACTTAAGAGTTGTCAGGATAGTTCTTTCCCAGTAAGAATTCTTCAGAACGAACTTAAGCTCCTAATTTAAATTTTCTCCTTAACTGTTACTAAATACGCCTTTAAGAAACCATCCAGTGACCCGACCGATCTCACGCGCTCCTACTTACCATGGCTTTCAGCCAAGTGCAGAGCGTGGGGGGAAGTCGGGCCAGCAGCTCCATTCCTCCTCTCGTCTGGGCGTGCAGGAGCGCGTGAGCCAGTCTCTGCCCTGTTAACACCAGCAGCTGCGAGGCGAGGACCTCCTTGTCGTGCACCTGGAGACTGGCCTGAGGAAAGGAGCACGGACAAGTGTGCATGGGGTAAGAGTTGGCAGAGGTACTTAGTCTAGGAACGGCTTTGCCAGTGAAGAGTCTAGTTCACTTCTGAGCTGCGGCCATGTGTACAACCAAAGAAAAAAGGTCCAAATCAAATTGAGCGTTCAAAATTCAAATTTCTGCCCACTACCGAATTTTTCTTATCCCCTAATATCTCGATGCAATGTGACACTAAGAGTCATTTTTTAAGTCTCTGGCAAAGGGAATTCAATCACATCATGACTGCTTAAAACCTTCTAAGGGCTTCTGAATACAGACGGACTGTGCGCTGGGAGACACTGGACGTAACTCCTGCCCACCTCCGCACCTCCTCTCCGACGTCTTCATCCTCACTCACTGCGTATGGTCCCCCACACCGGCCCTCTAGCCTTGGCCCTTGTACTTCCATCATTTCCGCCTCGAGCACTGTCGGCCCAGTTTCCTGCGTGACGGGCTGCATCTCATCCTTGGGGGCTCAGTTCAGCTGTCCCTTCCGACCACCGTATTGTAGCTCCTGCTGATTCCCGTGGTCCCGTTTCTCTTCACAGCGCTTCTCACCCCATACGAAATGTAGCACGCTTGCGGCGCCGCAGCCTCGGGTCAGGATCTCAGAGTCGTGAGATCGAGCCCTGCGTCAGGCTCGGTGCTGGGCAGGGAGCCTGCTTAAGTTTCTCTCTCTCCTTCTCCCTCTGGTCCCGACCCACCTCCCCCGCTTGCATGATCTCAAAAAAAAAAAAAAAAAAAAAAAAAAATTCAGCATGCTTTTCTGCTCCTACCAGCAGACTGTCAGTTCCATGAGGAAGGAATCCTGTCTGTTCTGGGTACCACTATGTCCCTTTGCATAGAACAAGCCTGGCACACTGTCGGAGTTTATTAAACATAGGCCAGAAACAGGAATTTGGTTACACTTTTATATTTAATATTCTGTTGTTTTTGTGCCTAGAAGTCCTAACAAAAGGAAAAGCAAAAAGCTCTACCGGAGACCTTATGGATTCTTTTTTTTTTTTAAGATTTTATTTATTTATTTGACAGAGACACAGCGAGAGAGGGAACACAAGCAGGGGGAGTGGCAGAGGGAGAAGCAGGCTTCCCGCCAAGCAGGGAGCCCGATGTGGGGCTCGATCCCAGGACCCTGGGATCATGACCTGAGCCGAAGGCAGACGCTTAACGACTGAGCCGCCCAGGCGCCCCGACCTTATGGATTCTTTACTCCAACCATAATTTCTGTGACTTGAGCCCCCACCTCACACTCAGAGGGTGACATTACCTCTTCTCCTAAGTGGTCCGCACCGTAGTTGTAGAGCTCCACCACGTAATGCCTTCGAACCACATCTTCACTAACTTGAAGGTGATGAGCCAAATCCACAGCTAGAACTGGCCAATCTTGGTCTTTCCCAAAAGGAGTGGTCGGTGCCTCTTCTGGGGACTCTCTGTCCTTCACGACTGAATGCTGAGCCTGGACGGCCGCACTAACGACTTTCAGTAAGAACTTGCCGACGGAGAAGGACACAGCACCGTCAGTATGCATCATTAAACAACGTCTAAATCACAGTAATTGGCTTTCCTGTCAGTGAGGGTGGCTTTTCCGTGGAAATTATTTATCAAAAAGGAACGTATAATTGAAAGGGAAATTAGCTTTCAAGAATACTTTGGAAGTGGTCATTCTTCGAGGCCAGCTAAATTTTTCATTTCCTACTTTCTTCTGAGAGACAAAAATAAAATCCGGTAACTATAACTTACCTGTTGTCGTACAGAAATAAAATTTGGATCCATTTCCCCACTAGGTAATAACTGAATTGAAGTTAGGTCTTTGAAGAATGCATTTTTCCCCTAAAGAGAAAGAAAAGACCAAGAAAACGGCTAAGTATGGATTATTATTAAGCGAAGGACAGAAAGATTTTAAAAAATTAAGCCATCTAATTAGTAACTCATGGTTGATTCTACTTGAACAGTAACATTTTAGAACTTTATTAATTTTTTTAACAATTATCTCGTATGTGGTAGGCAGCCTTTGAGGTCTGGCCCCGCTTCCTCCTGGTACGCATGCCTTGTGTCGTCCGTCCCCGCCCCGTTCCTTGAGAGGGGGCCGGACTCGCTGCTGGCGGACAGAATTAGGCGGACGCTAGCGCTGCTTTGAAGATTAGATGACAGAAGGGCTGTAGCTTCTGCCCTGGGTGCTCCTGTTCACTCTTACTTGCCGTGAGGGAAGCCGGCTGCCATGGTGTGACCTGCCCTATTTTGGGAGTGGTGCCTATGGCGAGAAGAGTCTTGCCTGCCATGTAAGCCTGCCGGTGGATCCTCCCGCCGCCCCCAGTGGGGGCTTGAGATGGGACTGCAACCCTGGCTGAAACCCTAACTGCAGACTCAGGAGAGACTCTGAGCCAGAGGCACTTAAATAAGGGGCGACACACATTCCCAACCCACAAAATGTGGTTTTCAGCCACTAAATTTTGAGGTAATTATGCAGTAACCAATAACTAAGACCTAGCATGTACTCCGCATCCTTTTAAACACACTTCCTCAACTGTCTGCAGACACCCTGTTTAAGAGAACAGACGTGTATCTGAAGACCCAAAGCAGAACATCAGAAAGAAGCAGAACTTCTTGGATTTCAGAAGTTCCTTGGAAGGAAATGTAACACGGAGCAAAGAGCACCAGCCTTGGGAAGTTGGGAAGGCCCAGGCTCTCGTCCCAGGCCTCCCACTTCCCGCTAGGCCATCTGGGTTTACAGACGACCCCATCGTCTGGGCTGCTGTGTTTTGCCCCGCAGTCACCCCGGGTACCTTCTAATGGACTTCCTAGACCCAACTATCTAGGACTGTAGGTCACCTAGTGTGACTGCCAGTTAGGATAAAGCTCCTCATCCTTTAGTGCACTGCAAATTGGACATCAGGGGCTGAAAGTTTTTCCACAGGGGCGACCCCATGGGTGGCTCAGTCGGTTGAGCGTCTGCTTTCGGCTCAGGTCATGATCCCGGGGTCCTGGGATCAAGCCCCGCGTCGGGCTCCCTGCTCAAAGGGGAGTCTGCTTCTCCCTCTACCCTTCCCCCCCGGCTCTCTCCCCCATCTCAAATAAATAAATAAAATCTTAAAAAAAAAAGTTTTGCCACATACTCACACATAGTCTGTTACCCTGTAGTTTCCGCCCGGTGGTCTTAGTTATTATAAGGGGCTGCTCTACATGGGGGCCTTTGGGGTGGGGGATGTGTATGCACATCTGTAACACCATTTGGTATTTACTACACTGCAGACACTGCTAAGCCCTTCATGTGCAGTATGTCGCTTCACCCTCACGACAACCACAAGGTAGGCCCTGGAATGAGCACTTCTGAATGAGGCAGCGGAGGCGAGGGGAAACGCAGGAAGACTCACTGGCCTAGTCCACGGCAGGGCAGGGTCCTGATTCACTAGCCACACCGCACTGCCTGTCTGCATGAGTCTCAGGCGGGCTCCGGCACCGCAGCACGATATGGGCTGAGACCGCCGTGCTTGTCCAGTTCTGGATGTGTTCAGTTTCACAAACTCCCTTTTTGGGGGGAGGACTGAGCTAGGCACTTCGTTTTGGGTTTTCTTTTAAAAAACAAAACAAAAAACTCGGGGTCTAGTGATGGAGAGGAATGGATGGATATGATTTAAGGAAGAATCGACAAGAATGACTTATAGTCAATGTGGGGCTTGAAGGGAAGTTTCAAGAACTTCAAGGTTTCCCATCTGCGCCATAACACAAGCAAGCACCCACCCTGCCGGGGGTTTAGGAGGAACAGCGGTTTAGGTCAAGGGCGGGGGGGCTGAGGGGTGGAGGTGTGTTAGATAGGAGGTGTCTGAAGTCGCACGGCCCATCCGAAGAGAGACAGCTGATAGAAATACACGCTTCGGGGGCGTGCAGTTGGTTAAGGGTCCGACTCTTGATTTCGGCTCAGGTCATGATCTCAGGGTCGTGAGATCAAGCCCTGTGTCGGGCTCTCTGCTCAGAGCAGAGGCTGCTTGAGGATTCTCTCTCTCTCTCACCCCCCCACCCCCGCCCTTCCTGCTCGCGCTCATGCACTTTCTCTCAAGTAAATAAATCTTTAAAAAAAAAGAAAAAAAGGAAAAATACACTTCAAATTCAGGTGACAGGTCGGGCCTGGAGATACCCAGGAGGGAGAAAATGGGTCTACCCGAGAATATGCAGAACGAGAACGGCAGACAGCTGAGAGGGCAAGACTCTGGAACCGGAAGAGTTACGGGAAGCCAGAATTACAGGCAGCCTGGTAGAGAACAGCGAGCAGAGAGCCCCCAGCGAGTGACCCCATACACATCCCAGAAGCACTGAGCAACCTGGATTACAGAAGACAATCCTGCCTATCGTCCCGCCCGCGCCTGCTCAGCCCTCGGCTCCGAGACGGCTCTCAAGGCCTCCGAGGTCCTCACCTTACTATCGAAGAGTGAGAGTGGCTTCACGGCCTTCAGAGAAAACCTCATAACGGCATAGAGGACGGAGCAGAGGACGGAATGGTGCTCCACCAGCGGGTAGTGGACGTGCTTCTGCTCCAGGGCCAGCTCCACTATGGAGGTCGGTCCTTCGACCGTGAGCCACGCGTCCTCCGTATCCAGGACAGGCGCTTGCATTTCATCCCGGCTAACGTCGGCCTGCACGTTTGGAGAATTCAGAATTGGAGAAATACGAGCTTGCAAATAAATATCTTAATGCGCTTATGAGGAGGAAAGTGCAAACCCCTTTTCTCCCCAGACCCCCAAGTGACAACAAAAAATCAAATCTAATTCTTCATAAGAAACCACTATTTGGGGGGCTTAAGTCAAAACTCAGAAACGAACAGATGAAAAAAACCTCCTTCTAGAGTCCTTTCTTAAGTCCAATGATTTTGAAAACGCTTAATATCTTAGAGAAGGTTCAGAATGAAAAGAGACCTCTTCTACCTCCATCAAAGTCTGAAGAAGATCCAAGCAGGAGCCAAGGAAAGAGGTCATTGCTGTGTCACTCATCCCCACATCCTGTTCGTAAAAAGGAACACGATTAGCACCTGCAGCAAAACTGTTAGAGGTACCACCAGAAAAATCAAAAACAACACAGCACACCTGAGCAACGGACACTACGCTGGACAGATGGGCAAGAATTTGAAAGTCAAGGCATTGGCACATTTTAATTTCTTTCTTGAGATTCAATGGATTTTAAAATTAGGCTTTAAAAAAGATGGTACCGCCATGGGCTTCATAAAAGCTGGTGGTGTTCATGTATCGTAAAGACGTGGCATCATCAGTCGCCACAGATCATGGCGCTGCTGGTCTCGGGCGAGCTCCCTAAGGCACGCTAACCACGGTACGTGGTCAGATGCCACATGGCAGCCCGATCTGAGAAGTCGTCAGGAAACAGCCCGGTCTGGCTGCAGAGCGCCCTTCAGGGACGGAACTGAACCTTCTCAACAAAACCGGAATCCCCAAGCCTGTGAGCTAAAGACCACCCTCATGCTGTGGGCAACAGGTAATTCCCATGGACTCCAAGGTGCCCCTGCATTCACCACCTTCTTTAAACCAACAACCAGGAAATCCCTCACATCCTAAGTACTTCATCCTGTCATTCACTGTGTGTGTGTGTGTGTGTGTGTGTGTGTGTTTGCGCGCGCGCGCGCACTGTCCCAACCACTCTCAAGAGCACAGCATCAGAAATCCCCCACAGTGGGGTTGTCAGGACTATGGGCCTAGCATGGCCGGATTCACGTGTCCCAGAATTTCCTAAGGTGTCTGTAATAAGAGTATTTCAAAGTTCAGAGCAAAAGTGCTAACTTTTGCTTAATCACCGGCCTCAAACAGAAGCCCAGTATCCGTGGGCTGGAATCTTATTGAAGACCATTTGTACAATGGTTATTACATAAAGTAGCTAAAATTCCCTCATGAATCTGCTTCCATGGGACACTGGGTGCTGCAGTTACAAATTTCTAGTTGGAAGCTATCTGACAATCTGGAAAGGTAAATTAAAATTGGCCACAGTTCATGACCAGTTTCCTTAACATCGTATTGTCCTTCCATGTTTCTCATCTCCTGATAGGTCGTCAAAATGGTAAAAGGCAAAGTCCAGCCCTGCAGTGAGTAAGGTGCTACGTAAGGTGCAGGACGGACAGCTCCGCATCTAATTAAGGGAGATTCACTTACCCTTCGGCATAGCCTGTCCTTTGGTGATTTTCCAACCTAAGAACGGGATGCAAAATACTATAGTTATTTAACAATTTAAATAAAAAGGCATTACTATGGTACTATAGGAAGTAAAAAAGTAAGCAAATTAAAAAAAATAAACTCAGCTATAAATAAATGCTGGTTCTACTCATTTATTACATAGTGCAATTAACTTTGTGGTGGAACTTAAAAATATATTATGAAAAATATATCACTGGGCTCACAAAATAATCCTTTTCAAAAATAATATTTTTGAATTAAAAAAAAAAAAAACAACTCTAAAAATCTGCTCCTCACTTTGTACAAATAACTGTTGCCTTCAAGTCCAGAACCAAACTCAAGGCTATGAATAAAGAGCAGCTGAGAGTTTTGCTTGTTGATAAAGATACACAATAATGTTAAATGGTCAGAAAAAAGGAAAAACAATCTGGTGCGGACAGAAGTCATGTTCCTAGCTCAGAAAACAGGATGATTTTCTCGATTCATAAGTGCTTGGTGAGTTCTACTGCATACTTTATACAACATGGTAATAAGCAGGAGATGAAGTTCTGCTCTTCGGGAACATGGCTTGATAAGAATTCCCAGGAGGCAGGAGATCGATCAGGGCAGACGGGACTCCAGCACCAAGGACTCTTTGCCTCGCTGCCTCTCCCTGAGATCACTGCAATGGCCTTCAAACAACCACACTCGGTCCATCCCAATCCCAACATGTTTCACCGCTGCCAGAATCATCTTTTAAAATGCAAATCTGAACGTATCATTCCTCTGCTTACAACTGCCCCAGTGTCTTTAAGATAAAATCACAGCTACCACTTACTGAGCCCTCACACTAGGGGCCAGACCCTATGCTGGGCAGTTTACACAGAGTGTTAGAAAACCCCAAATCCACAGTCCGCACGGGAAATACTCCATGCTCTGCTTCCCGCTCCTTCCTCCGGCCTGTGCTTCCAGCACACGAAGCTCCTCGCAGCTCTGAGCCAAACACGGATTCTGCTGGAATACGTCTCCTTCTCACCCACGGCTTCCCATTGACTCACGCATCCTCCACAATTCAGCTCAGAAGCCTTCCCTTTGTCTCGTTACTTACTTCCTCTTCTCAGTCCCCAAAGCACCCTATTTACCTTTTGGACTGTGAGTCCCTGGAGGGCAGGGGCTGGGACTTGCAACTCTGCAACCACAGCACCTAATTAGCACAGTCCTTGGCACATAAGAGATACTTACAATAAATATTTATCGAATGAATCATCAAAACTCTCTGCGTCCTCGTTCAGGACTGTTTAAATTCAAGTCCACGTTGTGAGGCTCAAGCGTGGCCGTCGATGTGAGAATGGTTCAAACCACAGTGACACCACCTGAAAAGCTTCGCACGCCCTACTCTTCTCCTGGAAGACGGCAGCCGGAGGGGAAGGAGAACGCAAGGCCCGCAGCAAGGCCGAAAGGAGCGAGTTGGGGGAAAAAAACACCGAAGCGGGCCAGGAAGGTGAGCACACGGGGAAAAACCAGGTTTAACTAGAAAAACGTGTTACCAGTAACAGCAAAGAAAGCATTTTCAGGGGAGCGGTGGCCCAAAGTGGGTCTGAATGTAGTGCTCATGGTTTAGGAATGTCTGTCCATGTACATTTGAAAGAACATGCCGTCATTATGGTGGTAACTCCCCTCACAGCCGCTTACCTGATGCTGCTTACATCTTGCCGGGCCTGGGAACACACTGACCAGGGCCCCCCTGGGGTGCCCAGCTGGGGGGCGGCGGCTAGTCCTGTGCCCACGTGCGATGTCTGTTCCTAACGCTACTTAGGCTGCCTGTCATATGTAATAATGGAATGATGTCACTTAATTAACTGATAAAATGTGAGTGAGGAAAAAAAAGAGTTGTTATACGAACACCAGGTTGAGTGCTTTAAAAAGCTGTACGGAGTAGCTGACTCCTAGCTCTACTGGAGGAGATGCAGAGGAAGCAACTACAAAGATGAAGGCATAAATTTTAAAATCTAAAGATTTTGTACTGAGACTGCATCACCACTTTATAAAGAAACAGGATCTAGAAATCACACGCAAGGCATCAGCGGTGAGTTTTCTGTAGGAAAACCAAAGAAGGACGGCAGCTGACCCCATTCAAAGAAAATACCTTGGTCCTACACCCAAAGATTGATGAGTTAACTGTACATTTGTACACTTTAATTAAAAATAAGGTGCAAATCCTTCCCTCAATCAAGCACAAGTGTCACTCTCTTTGCTTAAGAGGCTTTTAGAGGAAAGTACTCTCGAGGATCTGGGAGGTTCTTCTTCAGGTCATCAAAATGCCAGCACTGGGCATTACATTTAACTGAGCATTAGTAAAATGTAATATCAAATAAAAAATAGTCTCACAAGGCCCACTGTAAATAATCTTTCTAATATCAATCAATCAAGGAAAGAAAACAAGTATATGAAATTTAAAATTACCTTACCTTATCCATCAAGTATGTAGCAGCAGAAAACCTTTTCACCAAGAATGTATTCCACATCATCAGAGCGATGCCTAGATAGCAAGTATAAGTAGTAAGTAGAAGGCTTATCTGTTTTTTCTTTTATCATACTTAACAAATTACTGTCTTTCCTAAGCTTATAAAGCTATATGGGCTATTTATTTAGATATTGTTTCTTACATCTTATGTAATATTTGTAAAATTAATAAAAACCTTTCTCTTCAATGATAATCAGAACTGAGCTGGTGTAAGAGGATATCCAAATGGCTAAAAAGCCTAAGAAAAGATCCATATCATTAGTTATGAGAGAAATACAAATTAAAATCACAAAGAAATATCATTACACAACCAACACAAAGGCTAAATTTTTTTTTAATGACAGCACCAAGTGTTGGGGAAGATAAGGAAACAACTGGAAAGTTCATAGATTGCTGGGGGCATCGGAAAGTGATAAAACCACTTGGAAAACTGGCCATATCTACTAACACTAACTATGTGTCTACCATATAACCCAGCAATTCTACTGTGTAAAGGAACACAACGATATGTGTAAGAGTGTTGAGAATAGCTTTATTCAAAACAGCCAAACGAGAAACAGCCCCGTGTCCAAAACTGATTTTTTTTCATATGTAACCACCAAATAAAGTGACATATAAGGAAGTAATAAAAAACAAAATACAAAAACAACCACACAAGAAATCTGGGCTATATACTTCCATATTCAATAAACCATGGCATCAGAATTTCTGAAACTGTTGTCAATTAGTCAGCTTCAACATGACATTTCCCATGCGGAAATGTCTTAACTCTGCAGGTGGCTGCTTCTGCATCTAGGGGTGAGGGCCTCGGGCTGTGGAGAAGCCGGGAGGCTGACTCACTGTACAAACAGGTAAGTTCTTAAATACTAGCCCGACAGAATTCTCTAGAGACCCTATTTTCCAAATGAGTCACTTTCAATCTTCTCTTTTCCTCCCAGGAAGAAGGTAAGATTCTAAGAGATGAATAAACTTTTCAAGTTTTCTTCACATAAAATGAGACATTTTAAATTTCTCTAATTTGATGTCATACCACCTGCGAGAAGGGTACCGCTGAAGAGTAAGTACTTCCCTAAACTTCATCACACGCACAGCAGGCTGCTACCTCCCGCTCTGTGGTGCAACGTCTAGTGTCACCACTTAGTAAAATAACTAAGTAGCCTCGTGCCGAGCCCCCCCATTAATTCCTCCAGGGAAACCCACCTATCTATTTAATGGAAGCCGCAGCCTGTTGACAACTTTTCCACCACACTGTCAAGGACGCACCAGCGGCCCCGTTACGGCGGCTGATGGAGAACAGTCACACGAATTAAAAGCAGCACAAGACTGCTTGTGCTGTATATTCTTAGGCTCGTGGCTACCTAACTTTTTCATCAGCAGCTTCAGTCCTGACAAGCCTAGCCCTCTTTCCTTATCTACCTGTGGCCTAAAAAGAAAATCAGTGGTTTATGTCGAATATTCTCCTTACTTCTCCCCTCACATCCCCTTCTAAAGAGCATTTTTCCAAGCAGTTAAAAGACCAGTACTTTGCACGTCACGATCCACATCCACATACACAGTTACGTGTTAGGAGGTAGGACCATCAGATAAAAACTTAACAGAATATGAACTTAAAGATTCCTGCCTCTTTTGAATCCATCAGTTATATATATATTTTTTTAAGATTTTATTTATTTGACAGAGAGAGAGACAGCGAGAGAGGGAACACAAGCAGGGGGAGCGGGAGAGGGAGAAGCAGGCTTCCCGCGGAGCAGGGAGCCCCATGCGGGGCTGGATCCCAGGACCCCGGGACCACGACCCGAGCCGAGGGCAGACGCCCAACGACGGAGCCGCCCGGGCGCCCCCAGTTCTGTTTTTAACACGTGTTTACTTACCATTCTGAACATGTGCATTAAGAATGTGCTTCAGGTGCTCTATTGACCGAACGAAGAAACGCGCTTCCTTACGTACAGGAAGGAAGAGAGAGAGAGAGAGAGAGAGAAAGAGGCATCATTCAACAGGTGTTCCAAACACAGTGGAGACTTCTTGCATAAATTTCTACACAAAGCCACCCATGAATGTGGTGATAAGAACATGGAAGTATTAGGCAAAAGAAAATTTTTCATAGCACAGTGTCAACGGTCTCCTGAATTCACGTTATCCATATGATGATTGAAACCTAGAAAAACCCCAGGTCAGATATGCTGACATCTGAATCAAAAGTCACTGTGGCTTGTGACAGGACAGCAGTGCTTTCTCTAATGAATACTTGAATTTCACACAGATGTGGGTTTACTTTGTAGCAAATATCATTCATTATTCAACATTTATTGAGCAATTACTATGCACCAGGCTGTCTGAGGCGCCAGAGATACTGTAATGAACAGAGAGACCCAAATCCTTGCCCTCACTGAGGTTGCATTCTAGCAAGGGAGCTGAATAAATATGGTAAGTAAATTATACAGTAGGTCAGAGATATGTGCCAAGGAGATAAACTAAAGCAGTGAAGGGGAACATGTCTGAAATTCAACTCCTTCTAATCGAGGTAGTTGCTTACATATACACACTCATATATAGCATGTAAAACCGATGAAATCATCCAGATCTTTGCTAAATAATTTTATAGCTACAAACACTAAACATACCACCTTTGATAATACATATCAGTGTTAGCGATTTCCCACAGATAATTTCAACTGTTTTGATCCTAAGGAAGCTGTGTGTAAAATGGTGGAACTGGAGTAGGGGTCGGATGGGGCAAAGAGAATTACTAAACAAGAAAAAAAAAAGAAATATGGCCACTTATTTGAAATATTAACAATTTAAATAGACAATGATACCACCAGTCAAAATGGCAGGCACTATGCATGCATTTTCTCTAGAAACTGCTACAACCCTTCAAGACAGCTACAGTCCTCATTTACTTTTAGTAGAAAAATCAAGAACAAAGGGTTCAGAAATGTTCCTAGAGGTCATACAGCTGGTGAGCAGAGGCAATGGGGCTTGACCTCAGCTCTGTGTCTGTAAGCTGCCTTCAGTTTATTTTATTTTTTTTTAAGATTTTATTTATTTATTTGAGAGAGAGAGAATGAGAGAAAGCACATGAGAGGGGGGAGGGTCAGAGGGAGAAGCAGACCCCCTGCCGAGCAGGGAGCCCGATGCGGGACTCGATCCAGGGACTCCAGGATCATGACCTGAGCCGAAGGCAGTCACCCAACCAACTGAGCCACCCAGGCGCCCTCTTTTCCCTGGATTTTAAGGGAGGAAATGAATGACTTTTTTTTTTTTTAAGATTTTATTTATTTATTTGAGAGAGAGAGAATGAGAGAGAGCACATGAGAGGGGGGAGGGTCAGAGGGAGAAGCAGACTTCCCGCCGAGCAGGGAGCCCGATGTGGGACTCGATTCCGGGACTCCAGGATCATGACCTGAGCCGAAGGCAGTCGCTTAACCGACTGAGCCACCCAGGCGCCCTGCCTTCAGTTTATAATGAATGATGTAAAACAGTTTTCTTCTTACATATCACTGTGTTAGACCTGAATCTGGAATTAATCTATTCAGATTTTAGAAACTATTATGTCCTTATTATGGTCCTAACATTCTTTTTTCATGTAGGAAAAATTTTCATTTAAGTAGAGAGCCCAAACACAATTATCATGCAGGCCACTGAAGAGGGTGACTCGAGGGCCATCAGGAGGGTCCCCTGGGCTAAAATCACTTTTTGGTCAAGATTTAATTGATCAAAGCCCATTCGTTTGTTTAAAGCACTTTAAAAAAAAATCTTTTCCTTTAATATGAAAGTGATTACATATTAAAGACAACATTTTTTGGGGGGGGCAGAGTATCATTAATTAATGTATTAGTATGAATTGGTTCATCAGTGAGATTTTTTTCTTCAAAAGTGCAACCTGACATAAGGACAATAAAGTAGTTTGCTTTGAGAGGGATAATTTACCAGAGCACCGACTAGGGAGACCTAAGTGAAGGACTTACTGGCAAAGAGGAATATCCATCCTATGTTTTTACATCTTACTTAATCCTGGCATCAATCCTGAAGGATTGGCACCTTCATTAAAAAAAAAAAAAAGGGTAGAGGAAGGAACAAACAGTTTCTGAGATTCAGTGACTGGCCCAAACCCAGACACTTGTCAGAAATTCAGCTAGGACCCAAATTCAGGTCCCCTGCCCCCCCAGCTTGGGGCCTTCTTCCTATTCTGCTTCCAGACTATGACTGTACTGGGAGAGAAAGTGGCAGAAAATGATGCCCCAGCAGAGAGCTGAAAAGGCATAGTTAGCTAACCCTGGACTAGAGTCAGCCTTGTATACAGCATGGCTTTCTTGATTTTTCTGAGACAAACCTAAGAGAAGTGATGAACAAACACAGGGATATCTAAATAAGCAGACACTAGGTTAACATCAGGATCTTCACCCTGGCTTTTATCCTGATAACTACGATATTAAAAAGTTTGTTAAGTGGGTGCCGTCTCATGTAGGAATTCAAAAGGAAATAAAAAATATACTTATCACAACCTAACTAGGATGGGGCAAAACACACTGGCTTTAAAGACAAAGAAACAAAAAAACAAACAAACAACAACAAAAAAAAGACAAAGAAACCTAGGCTTAAATCCTGGTCCAGACCCTGACTTAGCAGTGTGCCCTGGGGCATGGAACTGAACTTCTCTGAGCCTAGTTTTCTCTTCTCCAGAGTGGGGTAGTGACAATGTCCACACCTCACAGGTTCTCTCTGAGGACTGAGAGAGAATGCATGAAAAAGGCCTAGCATAGCTCCTCGTACAAGAGGCATCCCAAAGGGGAAAAGTCCAGTGTTTACAGTAAGTTACTGAATTAAACAGTCCCACATATATACAACATGAGCACAACAACAGAATTAACAGGAAAGAAGGAGCGAGAATCTTACCTCTGGATCTTTATTCCACTGCACAACATACTCCCAACAGCAATGTGCGTGCAGCACGTCTAGCTCAAGGCTACACGGAAACTGCTTATAGGCTAAATGCAGCAAGTCTGAAAGCCACAGGAGAGTGACAGATTTATTATTCTTTCCCTAACAAAGACGTAGCCACATCCCCTCCACTCTGGACTGTATATTTCTCCGTATTTATGGATTACCTGGTATAGCTCCTAGGTTCATGTCCACCTCTGACACTTCAAGTAAATCTCTGTTAATACCTTCTTTGGGTTCATCTGGGTTTTCTGCATCTCTTTCCTTATTAGCCAGTTTTAATACTTCAGGGCTGAAGTCCTGTTTAAATATCCACTTGGCTACACTGTCTGCTATGCCACCTACAGTGTGGAGATAAGAAAATGAAAATTTACAGTGTTCACCAAAAACAGCAAGGGCAAGTGGGATATCTGGTATCTAAGGACAGACAGCTCTATACTCCCATGTTAGATATATATAAATGCATGTACCTATTTGTATACCACACAGCTTCCATGTCCACAAATTCAAAATATACTTTATCAGACACAGATGAAGGGGTGAATACATCTTTAAAACACTTTCATTCATTCATTCATTCATTCCTTCATTTAAGATTTTATTTATTTATTTGACGGAGACAGACACAGCGAGAGAGGGAACCCAAGCAGGGGGAGTGGGAGAGGGAGAAGCAGGCTTCCTGCGGAGCAGGGAGCCCGATGCGGGGCTCGATCCCAGGACCCTGGGATCATAACCTGAGCCGAAGGCAGACACTTAACAGACTGAACCACCCAGCGCCCCTAAAGCATTTTCATTTACATATAAGTGAAACAGACTGATTAGTATGATACCTATCTAGGCTTCTTAGGGCAACATATTACTTTTAATAGTCAACTAACTTGCCTACATGGAATATTTATGGGCAAAATTTAGCCACATCTAAGAAACATGATGCTATGCCATGTTTCAATCATCGACACAGGCCAAAAAATTCTAAATGGAAACTGAAAAACACTCAAGACAAAGAGTCCTGTTTATTACCTAAAACAAATTATACGTTCTTCTATAATTTATCAACACCTTTTCTTTCTTCCTATTTTGATTCAAATATAAACCTTTCCACAAAAAAGAATGCTTCACAGTAAAATCACCATTATCAGGGATAATAAATGGCAGCAGTGTGCTGGCTATTCCAGTTTCTTATGTTTGACTTCCAAATCATTTGGTAATTTCCATTCCAGAATCAAGCCCTTGCTTATATTGCTTAGGTTAGTATCACAGTGATGGTCCTACCCTATCAGCAGGGGGCAGCAAGGAGTGTAGAGTTTATAATTTAAAAATTTTCACGTCTTTTTTTTAAAAAACATAATTTATTTAAACTTAAAAAAAAAAGTTTCCATTTGCATGGAGTATCTTTTCCCATCCCTTCTCTTTCAGTCTCTGTGTGTCCATCCATCTAAAGGGAGTCTCTAGGCAGCATATATATGGGGCTTGGTTTTTTTCACCCATTCAGCCACCTTCTGTCTTTTGATTAGAAAATTTAGCACAGTTATAATTAAAGTAATTACTAGTAGGTGTTGCTCATTGCTATGTTATTCTCTGGCTGCTTTAATCATTCCTCTGTTCCTTTATTCTCTTGCTCTCTTCCTCTTTGTTTTGCTAACTTTCTTTGGTGATATGCTTATAGTCCTTTATCTTTTATGTATTTACAACAGGTTTTTGCTTTGTGGTTACCATGAGCTTAGAACTAACAACTTATATCTGCAACTGTCTGATTGGGTGAGTTCTACTGCCCTGCCTTTGGGTTCACTGGTCCTTTCTTTTGCTTCACCTAGTCTGCGGCTGAAACCCTCTAGCATATACTGAGTTCAGTTACTGTATTCTTCAAGCTCTGTGATGTCTACTTATTTTCCATCTCCTTGAAGTTATCACTATGTTCATCCATTCTTCTCCCCGGTTTGGTGAGCATTTTTCGGACTATAATTTTGGGCTTTTTATCAGGAAAATGACTTATATCCATTTGATTAAGGGTTCCCCCCCCACCGAAGTTTTATCTTGTTCTTGGACTTGGAACATATTTCTCTATTTCTTCCTTTTGCTTGACTCTTCCAGTCTTCAAGGAGTGGCCTTGTGTAGGAGATGAAACTTGTCGTTTATCCAAGCAGCCCAGTAGATTTTTAAAAGCTCCCAGTAGCTGAGGAAGTGCCAAGACCAGCCAGTGTCCTGTAAGAGAGGATCTTCACACACCTACATTCAGGCTGACTGAAAGCCAGAACCTCAGGTATCAGCTTTCTTCTATTTTAAGATTTATTTATTTATATGAGAAAGAGAGAGCGCATACAACACAAGTGAGAAGGGCAAAGGGAGAGAGAATCTCAAGCAGACTCCATGCTGAGCACAGAGCCCAGGGTAGGGCTCAATCTCACGACCTGAGCCGAAACCAAGGGTCGGACGCTGAGCCAAATGCACCACCAAGGTAACTTGTCAGACATCAGCTTTTGAAAGTATGGGACCACACGCATAAGCTCCACTGGCCACCAGAGCCAGGGGATCTGGAGATGTCCCCTGCGTGGCAGTCACAAAAACCAGAGCTCCAAGCAAGTGTATAAGCTCTTTCCGGGCTACACTGGCAAACTGGGACAAGGCAGAAGGCAAGCGCCAAGACGGCATCTGCAGCCTATGTTCCTTGAGAGCAGCTCCGGAGGCTACTACGTGTGTGCCAAACCTAAAGCCTGCCTCTCGGGCCGAAGCTTACAGTCTTAGAAAGAATAGGAAGACACGTTAACTAAATAAAAATCTATAAATACATAGGTATTTAGAAATCCAGGAATACAGACAGTCCAGTATCAAATGCCTGACAGAGCTGCTGGTAAAAAGAAAGTACACCAAGACAACTAAAAATTTACGATGCTTATGGTCCTGCAGGATATAAGCACAAGAACCCAATGGTTCCAGGACAGCAGAAAGTGATAAATCACAGAAGAGGTATAAAGTTCCACGGAAGTTAGGAGGAAGAAGAAAAAATTTGCAACTAGTGGACCATGGGCAGTTTCTTAGAGGACGTAGTATTTGAGCTGGGCCTCGAAAAAGGAGTAAGTACAATTTAGAATCCAGAATGGGACAGGCGGGGAAAGGGAAGGGGCCAGGCTCAGACCTAGAGGTGGGAATCACACAGATGCTTCATTTGAACCACAATCAAGCAACGAGCAAGAAATGGAAAAATCGGTTAGATTCAAAGCCAGAAGTTCTTAGAGAACCAGTTTCTATTTGTTCCAGAAGTTCTTGAATTTCTTAAGTCTCAGAATCTCCTTAAATTCTTAAAAATTACTGACGATCTCAAAGAACTTTAGCTTGTGGATTATATTTATTCATATTCATGATCTCAGAAGTTAAAATTTAGAAAACTTTAAAATATTCTTATTAATTCATTTTTAAATACAAATAATAAACCTATTACATGTTAATAACATTTTATGAAAATATATTTCCCAAAGCAAGAAAAGACGTTTCGTGAGACGAGTAACACTACAACCTTTGCAGATCTCTTCCACTGTCTAGCTTGTATCTGGATTCTCCAATCAGCTTCTGCATTCCATCTACTGGGATCTGCTGTGCTGGTTGAAGTAAGGGAGGCAAAGCCAGCCTCCCACAGACATGAAGTCGGAAAAGGGAGGGCTCTTGAGGTCCTCTGAGCACTCTCTGAGAACCACGGCTAATTCTCTAAGGCAGGGGGAAGTAGTGCAGATTCCCGAGCAGGGAATGGACAGAAGCAGACTTTGAGAAGATTAATTGAGAAGAAATACGCGTTGGGTTATTTTTAGTTTTTAAAATCTCAATGTATTTCTCTTTCCCCATCCTTTCGATCATTTCTATAAGAACCACCAGAAACGCCCACACCATAAACATGTAGATCTATATGTGCAATGCTCAAATAACTGCAGCTTACCTTTTCCTCCTTCCAATAACTTTTTGACAGAAAGCCTCGGGAGGGGCTCAGCCTGCAGCAACGACACTTTGGAGGTTGACGTGTTTGCTTTGCTGTGAAGTAAAGTCTGAAGTATGAGACAGTCCTCCAGCTGTTTCAGTAGAAGCTTCCAGTATTCAGTGTCCAGAGAAAGGGCCTCCCAGGAATCGGTGAGGGCCTCAGAATCAGCACCCAAAACTGTCTGGGAAAACTAACAGGAAATGCACTGGTGATTCTCTGGCTAAGGTTGTGGATCAACAGTCACTTGAATGAGCTTTTTTTTTTTATTTTATTTTATTTATTTATTCATGAGAGACAGAAACAGAGGGAGAAGCAGGCTCCCAAGGAGCGGGAAGCCCGATGCGGGACTCGATCCCAGGACCCTGGGATCATGACCTGAGCCGAAGGCAGACGCTTAACCATCTGAGCCACCCAGGCGCCCTTGAATGAGCTTTTGACTAGAGAGCTGAGGGACCGTCAGGTTACGTCACGAAGCAACACACAGACGCCGGTTCACAAATATTACTGCTTGGCCGGATGGAACATGAGTGACAGGAGAAGACTGGATTCGGGGGCAACAGTGACAGAGCCTGGACATTTACAGAAAGACCTGCGGCAAGGCCCCTGATTCATGCGATGCGTACTAACAAGTCTGCAGGACCATCTCTGACAAGGGCCACGGTCTTTTCTGTCAGTACCAGGGTAGTGCTCACTCTTCAGAAGGCACTCGCCAACATACAAAATGTGTCTCAAATTCCTTCTCTCTCCATTTTCATAAACATCTTAAGCCAGTAATATTCAGTTTAGCATATAAATTACTGAGACTGACAATGTTAAGTGAATCTCTACAGGCCTATTTAAGTGACTCATCCAATTAAATCCATGTCCCCCTAGAAAAAATTTGATCTACCATGAGATACAAGAGATGTTTTTTTTTTTTTAAATAAATTTGAGTCTTTATAAGACATGAGGAAAAATCACAAAGCAAAAGGTCAATAGGAAACTTTTATTCAAGTCCTTCAACACTCTATGCCCGAAACAACTTTTGTTTATAAAGGGGGGAGGGTTATAAATACAATTGTAGAACTCAAGAGCTACAACAAACCTCAGAAATAATGCAGTCTACCCCTGACCTCCTTTAGACGAAGAACCTGAAGTAGGAGACTCATGTTTAAGGGACTTACCACAAATCCCCAGCTGCAGGCAGAGAGCCAGGTCTCTGCCCTCCAACTGCAGTACTTTTCCCCTCGAGGTGGAAAGTACGAGGTGACGGCCAAGTTCAAGTATGCATGTCATCTGAATAAACCAGTTAAGGGCAGCACCCCTCACTCCCACAAAGATAGATGAGAACCTGCTGGGCACACACTTCAAACTCTACATGTTCCATAACACCAGAGACACTGCAGCCCCAGACGAGGACAAGCAGGCTGGACAGCTAGAGATCCAGCCTATCCAAGGACAGGTGCACCCCCACCCACTTACTTTTTTCTCGGTCATGATGTTCGAGATCTGTGCGGCAACGGAATGCCCAACGTGTGCAGACAACAGAGCAGCGCCGTTGTTCTCAGACTGAACACAAGCCATGCGCATCTGCTGCCACCAGGGAGACACAGGCTGGGAGTCCCAGGTCTCATCGATGGCCACTGCGGGCAGAAAGAGAAAGTCAGAAACTGAGCTTGTCGGTTCTCTCGGTTCAACCTTTAACATTAAACATAATGTTGAAACTAAATTCCCCAGTATGTATTTGTAAATTTCTGAATTAGAAGATTAACCCACGGGGCGCCTGGGTGGCTCAGTCAGTTAAGCGCCTGCTTTCAGCTCAGGTCATTTCCAAGAGCAGTGGTCCACATCTCAAGGGCCATGGAACTGCAACAGCCACCAGCCTTTTACCTTTCATCTTGCTCAGAAGGGACAGCATCGTATGAAGACAGCACACAGACTGTGGTTTATCCAAAATATCTTTCTCCTTAGACAGCCAAACACTCAGGAGCAGAGACTGAAATCAATTTTAAATAATTTTCAGTAATAAAAAAAGCAAACAAAATGCTGCAGTTTTCAAGGAAGCACACGTGTATATGAGGGATTCAGTCCTTGAGGGTGAGAAATAAGGGGCTGCTCATTACATCATGTAACATGAGAGGCAGAACAAGGTGCCCTGTCTACTTAAGAGATTCTTTACCATCTGTTAGATATGGAACTTCCACCGTTTCCATCTCTTCTTTGGATTAAGCATTGCCTTCCAGGTTGAACCTTGATTAGGGGGCATATTAACAGAAAGGTTACTACCAAGTTAGCATAGATTGTTGAGTAGATTGGTGGGAAGCCACTCAGCTGATGGGAGGAAAGGGAGGATGTGGAGCTGTGGACCTTTCCCCACACTGGCCACAAGGTACTGTGGACTTGGAAGTGGTGAATAGATAAGTAAAACTATCAGATTCTAGTTTTTAAATCACTAATAGGACATGAGAAACAGACTTTATAAGCAAAAACACCTAAATCAATGTAAGTGACTTTTAAGATGCCCATGAACCAGCCTATCTACTTAAAACTGAAATATTTTAAGATGTACAAAATTTGCACATAGGTAATTCTGGGATAATGAGAAGTTCAATAGCATGGCACCGCACCTGTAACTGCTAGTGATTGTGAAAGGCCTGGCTGCTTTAGTTCTGCAGGACCTTCGTGTAAAAAAACAAAAACAAAAACAAAAAAGGCTTGAGAATAAAAGGTTGATTACCAGTTTAAATATCTTAGTACAAATACTTTTCAAAAATGAAGAAGAGTAGGAAGTTGAAGTCGTGTGTGAAGGAAATGAACTTGGGAGAATGACCGAAGGACCAGGAGATGTTAGTACTCGCCAGGCATCACCCCGTCCAATCCCAACAACCTCGCGGCAGGAATGGTCTCCCAGATTTTACAAATGATGAAAAGGAAAAGGAACTTACCCGGCACAATATAGCTAATGAGTCAGGACTGAAGTCTGAACCAAGATCTGCCTGATTCTAACACACGTTTTTTTCTCTTTAAAAAACTGTACATGTGTACAGACATGTACATGTACACATAATTTGCACAAATAAAAAATAAACACACTTTCAAAAGGAGTCTATTTCTCCCTTTTCTGTTCAAACCTCTTAGCTCTCTCCCTATGTCAGCCTCCTTTCTACCTCATCTTATCCAGAAACCTATTTTTTTCTTTAAAGATTTTATTTATTTATTTATTTGACAGAGAGAGACACAGTGAGAAAGGGAACACAAGCAGATGGAGAGGGAGAGGCAGAGGGAGAAGCAGGCTGCCCGCTGAGCAGGGAGCCCGATGCGGGGCTCGATCCCAGGACTCTGGGATCATGACCTGAGCCGAGGGCAGACGCTCAACGACTGAGCCACCCAGGTGCCCCAAGAAACCTTTTTTTTTTTCCCCAGCCAAAAATGTGCTCTCATATTTGCCTGCATATTCGTAAGACAAACACAATGCTAACAACAATAAAGGCTAATGGCTGCAGAGAGCTGACTATGCTCAAGCCACTGGCAGCTTTCTAAGTATATACAGAGAGCATTAGGGAGCGGGCATGCGGGAGAGGTGGTCACCGCTTTAGAGAACTGGGGTCATATCACATCACGTGCATCCCACCTGCCACACAACATCCCGTGTGGTCCACAAACTTCTGACTGACTTTATCCATTTATCAAGGTTATTCCCTCTCTTCTAGACCTCATCACCTCACACAACACGGCTACTTATAACCACCAGGCAGGCTAAAAAAAAACGAGCTGCCTGTACAAGCAACAAAGTCACTCCAAAATCAACTGGAAATGACCCTGTCTCCGTGTTGTGGGCACACAAAGCAAATCAAAAGGAAATGAGGCGGGATGGGAGAACTTATCTTCTGGGGTCACTCTGATTAATTTTAGGCCAAAATATATGAGCAGGGGTATTTTAAGAGCACAGCAGGTTTCTAAGGCACCTATGGGTTTAGTGTCTTTCAAAGCTTGATTCATCTCTTCACCAGCAACGAAGTTTCAAAATGCTCAAAAAGATGGACAACCCAAAAGGTGAGACAAATTAAATGCCATGACCTGACTCCCTCTTCATACTATAAACTCTTCTATTTTTCTCTCCAACTAACCACTCCCCCTATCTACCACCACCTTTATTGAGCAAATTCTAAAACAAAAAAACCCTGTTCTATTTAACTCTCCTTCCATCTCCCTCTAGGTCAACCCTGTTTCTAACTCTCATGCACCAATGTAATCTTTGCTTATAACTTAGTGGGCGCTCCTCTTGTTTATTAACTTTAAAAAGTCAGTCAGTCATGCTTTAGTTAGCATGTAAAAAGTTCGTATGAAACAGAGGCTGCTGTGGGAGCTATCAGAACACAAGGACACAATTTTAGAATCACTTATAAACAACAGATTTTTTTTAAGCTTCAGGAAAAATTAAGGTAAAAGGAGAAAAATAATCAAAGAGGAGAATACAGAGATAAGAGACCACATAAAAACATACACATAGACACACATTACAGAAAAACAGAGTATACAGAAGGTAACGATCTCTATAACTCATAAATACAAAATATCCTTTCAATACATCACAGCAAAGAATGTCACATTATATTATTCATAATGTGCATATTCATATTATAAATGTATACTATGTTATTTCACATATAAATGTCACATATTGACATATTACCAGATGATATCTGAGTATTAGATTTTTATTAAGAGAAAACTTGAGAGGAAATTTAGTTAATTCCTCTTTTCTACGTCAAGCAGTATCTAAGACTTGGTAAAAACCTAAGAATGTACCTAAGAATGACGTACAAAATCCCACTGGTTCTTGGTAGATGCTTCTAATGCCTAATGAACTTTACTTTTTGCTAAGTATCCTCCCCCTGTAATATTAACATCCCAGATGTCTTAATCCTTCCCTCAGCAGAAATGCTGGCAGTTAGAACATGAAGAAGCCATCTGTTAGCCCTGTCTCTACTTAAACTTATTTTGTCAGTTTTTTGAATGAGCCTTATTTTCTAGTCTTTCCTGAAAACTAGGTCTGTTTTAGTATACAGAATTAAAACTTGGTAAAATTCCAGTGAGGGTAGTTATAGTTTTAAAATTAAATTATAGTTTTAAAGATTTAAACATTTAAAAAACTATCAGGCTGTTGTCTGTGAATTACGCTAATATAGTATATGATACTGACTAAATCAAATGTTAAGTTTTATAGAAAAATCGGTGGGCATAGTACATCTAGGAGTATTTCCAAATTTAACAATACACACAACCTAAAAAGAATACACACACACAACCTAGATTATAAGTAGCAAATTTCTTCACGAACATAATTCCAATAAAACTACCATTTAAAATAGTTCAGGAAAAATAATAGGAGGAGTTAGCATTTCAAATGTCCTTGTGAACACTAATAATGTATTTTGCTGAAAGACCTAACACCTTTTATTCATGACTTTTATATGCCTAACTTCTAAAAGTCTATCACTCTTTTAATGTAATACACTGTACTATCTGAGCACTGTGAATTGTCTAAGACTGATGAATCACAGACCTGTTCCCCTGAAACAATACACTATATGTTAATAAAAAAAAAAAAACAGACATTCTCTTTAAAAAAAAACTATTTGAAATTTAGTAACTTAGAAAAATGTCATTGGTTGATATTCTGGCACTGGCACTAACTGCTGTGGGAATGAGCAAGCCGTAAGCAAGATGCACACTTACTACATGGGTACACAAAACCCCTGCACTTGATCTTCCCAAGGCCAGGCGGCTTACTCATGGCTTGAATGTGCTGGCTGCTATTTCCTCTGATCAGTGTGACCACAGTGACCAAGCAGGCTTTTTAAAAAGCTTGTCGTATTGTACATTCAATGTCTTACTTTAATTCCAGGACTTCGTTTTTGTTTTTCTGGGTTTTTTTGTTTTTTTTTTTAAGAAGTTTCCCTCTCCTTCCCATTCGTAACTACTATTTACATGCTTTCAGTGAAAATGCCTTATTTCTCTGTACTGCACGGCAGGATTTTAAAAACTTACACGACTGCTTTTAAAAACATTCAGCTACTGATAGAATACTTCAAAAACCTAACCATAAAATATGGTTATTTGGAATGCGTGAAATAGTCTTTCAGAGTTAGATGATTTTTAAAAAGAATTTAAAATTATAATCCATTTTATAAATTCTGTAGCACAATAAATATACTTACAGATCCCAGCATTATGGATTTAAAATCGTGAAATTTCCTATATATCACTTTATTACATTATAACATATACATATTTACAATAAAGTTCACTAATTTTAAGTTGGGTGGCCAACACCATAAACATCATCCCCCAAAGTTCCCTTGTGCTTCCTGTAGTCAATCTCCAACCCCCACCGTCATCTTCTAGCAAACTCCCATCTGCTCTGTCACTGTATTTTTGCTTATTCTAGTATTTCATATAATTAAAATCATACAGGAGGTAGTCTTATTTCTGGATCTTTTCACTTAGTGTAATGCTTCTGAGATTCATTCATTTATTTATTACACAATTATTTTGTGTATCAGTAGTTCATTCCACACTGTATGGATATACCATAACTTAACCACTTATCAGTTGATGGATATTTGGGTTGTTTGCATTTTGGGCTATTATGATTAAAGCTGTTAACACTTTATTCCAAATCTATGTGAACACATGTTTTCATTCCTCCTAGAAAAACACCTAGGAGTGAGACTGCTGGATTTTATTGTACATCTCTGTTCAACATCATAGTAAACTTTTAAACTATTTTCCAAAGTTGTCGTATTAGTTGGCATTTCCATTAGCTGTGTTGGGAGTTCTGATTGTCCCACATCTTCATCAACACTTGGTGCATCAGGAGTCTTAATTTCAGTCATCCTCTTGAGAAAGAGTCTACTGTGGTTTTATTTCGCATTTCCCTAACAGTGAATGATGCTGACCACCTTTCAGGTGACATTTGCCATTTGTAAGTATATTTTTTGGTAATGTAATGGTTCAAATCTTTCGCTTTCCTTATTATATTGTTTGTCTTATTACTGAGTCATATAAATTCTTTCTTAATGTGGACTCATTTATCAAATGTAAGTTTTGAAAGAGAGGTTTGCCTCTCAGTTTCTTAACAGTTCTAAAACACAGAAGTTTTGAATTTTGATGAAGTGTAATTGATCAATATTTTTCTTTTATGTTCATGCTTTCTGTGCCCTATAAAATCTTCCCCTGAATCAAGCTTTCTCCTGTGTTTTCTTCTGTAAGTTCTGTAGTTTTAGCTCTTATATTTATGTTCCACTTTGAGTTAATTTTTATATATGGCTTGAGGAAAGATTTGAGGTTCATTTTTCCCAATGTTTCTTGAACCCCAGATTTAATGCAGACATTTTATTGATACTGATTAAACATAATGTAAAAATAAGAAGTATCTTGTACTCATCTTATTTAAGCATCTCAAATTTGAATAATAAATACCTCCTCTCTTTTTAACTTTTTATTTTATAATAGTTATAGATTTACTAGGGGCACAAAAAAAAAATGCACAACAAAGTCCCATGCACCCTTCCCACAGCCTCCCCTAATGTTGACATCTTATACAAATCAAAACCAAGAAATTAACATTGGTAAAATCCATACAGCTTATTCAAATTTCACCAATAATGCATGCACCCATATGTGTGTGCACGCAATTCTATCAAATGTGTAGCTTTTCAAAAACATCACCATGATCAAGCACTCAACTATGTATCAGCACGACTCCCTTGTGTCAACCCTTTACAGCCACACCCACCCTCCAGTCACTCACCCCTCACCTATGACCACCACTAATCTCTTCTCTATCTCTATAATGGTGCTATTTCATGACTGTTACAAAAATGGAATCATGCAAGTACATGTCTTTTCAAGATGGGCATTTTCCACCCAGCATATTTTCCTTGCAGTTCATTCAAGTTATTGTGGGAATCAATGGTTAAGTCTTACTACTGGGGAGTAGTCCATGGTAAAGATGTACCACAGTTTGTTTAAGCATTCACCCACCGAAGGACATTCGTGTAGCTTGCAGTTTTGGCCTACTATGAATAAAGCCACTTATGAACATCCATGTAAAACCTATGCATATCTTTAACTGCCTTACTTCCTGACATACATACTGCAAAGGAACAAAGAATGGAATCTGTTTTTAAAGGATGTAAATGTTCAATTAAAACAATACACGAACACAGTCAACAAGCTCATAGAGGAGCTTTCCCAGATCCTGGCCAAAATGTAGGGTGTTACTGGGGATGCAAAAGTGTGTGTATGTGTGCATGTGAGTGGTTAGGGTAAAGACCAGGGAGGACGGCAGGGTCACCTCCCTTGTCCTGTGCAGAAGGGCAAACATTCAGTGGTGATGTTGTTTTCTAGTGAATGATTCTTTTGTTTTATTTTTGTTATAGCAGAGAGACTAAACCCTAACCTATATTCAAAGTTTGGGAATGTTTGATAACAATTCTGTATTGCTCTAAGAGAAGTTGATTTTGTTCTCTAAATAAGATCTTTTTTACTTCTAATATGATCAATTTCACTGTTGATCACAATCCACTATAAATGCATGCATACATGTCAGATTCTAAATTTATTTTAGGCTGACCATGGAATATGCCCGCTACAATTTACAGGGAATTAGAAAAATAATACTACTCAATTAAATATGGTGATTATAAATTTCTTCGATCACTTTTGGAAGGTTTTCATGTATGTTCTATGATATGCTTCGGACAATGGTTAAAAAAAAAGGACTGACACTTCTGGATGACATGAGAAGGGAAGAAAAACGTGCAACAAGAAAGCTTACCAACAATAGCTGAGGGCTAAGTCCAGCTGACTCCAGAGTGTGACACATATCCTCGGTAGAGCTTTCTCCATGCAAACACTTCCAGAAAAAGAAACTACCTAGTAAAACAAAAGCAAAATGCATTAACCAATGGCTACTTACCATTTGGACTAATATTCTTCCTGAATTGCAATCCAGATCCCCAGAGAGGCAAACCAGCATGAGGAAAAAAGAAATTAATGTTTCAGTTTGCTTGATTTTAAACTTTTTTTTTTTTAATTTATTTATTTGACAGAGAGAGACACAGCGAGAGAGAGAACACAAGCAGGGGGAGTGGGAGAGGGAGAAGCAGGCTTCCCGCTGAGCAGGGAGCCCGATGCGGGGCTCGATCCCAGGACCCCAGGATCATGACCTGAGCCAAAGGCAGACACTTAATGACTGAGCCACCCAGGCACCCCAGTTTGCTTGATTTTAAAGCAGAGGGCAAATCATCACCTAACACTGTCTCTTTAGTACACGTATTAACCAATAAAACTTGTATGACATAGTGCCTACGTATCCAGAGTAGTTTTTGTTCACTGAAAAATACACATTAAATTCTTAGGTTAATTTTAAAACAAACTGAACCTTTGAGATGCTGTAAACTCCTGCCAGGCTTTCCGCCAGAAGAGGCAGGATTCAAAGAGCAGTTTTATCATTCCACCTACCTAAAGCCACATACTCCTCTTCACTTATTTTCTTTATGTTGATCACATCCTTCTCATATTCTAAATATTCCAGGAATGTTTTTACAGGTAACACACCATCCTTATCATCAGAAAATCGGACTGTAGCAGTCCTGGTTTTTTCCTCTTTGTACTTCTCTAGTAATGCCTGGAGCTTGAGCAGTTCTTTTTCATCAAGCCTCAGTAATACAGCCAAGTCCTTAAAAAAATAGGAAAAAAAAAAAAAAGGTTGTGAATACACCGTATCTCTTCCTATGACTCTGCCATCAGGGTCAACCCCGTTATTTGAAGTGAAATGCAAGACTATAAGCAAATGATGACTTGTCAATTACTGTGACAGCTCTATTGTACTCTGCTTAAAATTTTAATCACAAATTCACGAATTGGAAGTAACTTTTACTAATCTTGAAACAGTACATATTACAAGTACGATTTTTATACAATTTCGTGGGAATACACTATACTCATCTAAAATGTTTGAATTTTACTAAAGTTGCATTAATTTAGAATCAGAAAAAAATCGCCAGAGTATCAACTGCAACTCTTGTGATTCTAAGTAAACTAAAGGCCTATTTGAATGTTTATTTATTAAGCAGCATAAACACAATAAAAAATACTGAAACCAAGCCTCACTGTATCTACATATACATCCTCTATGTGGCTCTCAGGGATACAGAGGTTGAAAAGTTACGTACTGCATGGAGCACTGGGTGTTATACGAAAACAATGAATCATGGATCACTACATCAAAAACTAATGATGTATTGTATGGTGACTAATATAACATAATAAAATTAAATTAAAAAAAAGTTAGAGACATATCCTGCCCACCTTTCAAACTATCTTTACAGACCATACGTGCAAAACATCTCCTGATACTACTATTATTTTTCTAAATTAGGGATAAACATACACACACACACATACAAACATATGCTTAAAAAACCCTAAATTCACCATAGCAAGCAAAACTTTCTCCCCGCCACATGTTTTTAAAGACAGGTAGTAAATTGCAGAACGCTATGAACACACACCGGTAGTTCAAAGCTGTACCGAATTTATTATATATGAGCGAGCTTATATGAACTACGTCCCATAGGAACAAAAATGTTTCCAGACTTGAATTTCAGTTTTACACGCACAAGATTAGCCATTCAGCCTAGAAGTGGACTATACATTTTTTGAAGGATCTAAACGAGTTCACAGCAAAATACAATTTTAACTCTTAAAAAGTGCTTCAAAAAATAATAAAGAGTAATCAGCCAACTGATAACTTTAAATTTTGTAATTTTTATCTTTACATACTGTATTGGGGCTATCAAGTGAAAATGAATTCTGTAGGGGATTACTAACGACATATACTTAACTTTCTTTGGTGAGGTAGGAAAGTTTGGATCTTATGAAAAAATTAGGCATTGGAGAATCTATGAAATATCTAGGCAGTCCTGCAGACATAATTTAGTCAACTTGAACCTTCTTATTGTTTGAAATGATTTTATACTATTGCTGAAGTAGAAAGAAAAACAAAAAGATCCTGAAAAATGGCTTTGTTGTTTATAATAGCAATCACAGAATATTATGAAGGCTGTTAAAATGCTTTATGAAATCCATCTATAATCACAAGAATAAAAAAATTGTTAGAATTTTTAAGTAGTTTCCAATAGAGAGAAAATCTCCCATTTTTCTGTTTAAAAATTTTTATTCACGTATGTATAAAATAAAAGGTTTCCACTTTAAACTTCAATTAAGTTTCAGATACACCAGATAATTTTTTATAAATATTATCAGTGACTTGACAAATCACTAAAATCACTTAAATAATAATTTTCCTTTAGATATGTGGAAGACATGAACCCTAAAGGCAAGCAGGCTGTCCACAGTCACACGGTAATCTGAGAGAAAGAGAGGACAACCTTTCTCTCTACTCTCTATTACGGAAACTATTTCTCTGTATGAAAAGTAAGAATTTTGCATACATGCCCCAGAAATTACCAATACTGCACCATAATGAAGATTACAAGGTACTGCCATTTTTTTAATGTTTTACAGAATGAGAACATAGAACATTTACTATAATTAAACACTTTGATGTAAGACAGAATTTCTATTTAAGTATGATGTAATAGACAAGAGAACAAGCTGTATGAGTTTGTTCACAACACCACTGAACACCCAGTCTCTTCTGTTTAGCAAAATCTTTTTTTTTTCTTTAAAAGAAATTAAAGTTTTGCTACTTCAGTAAACTGAATATATTTTAATTGGCAAATCTTGTCCAGTTATGTTGTCAGAAACAACCTGAAAAAATGAGTTGAGAGAAACCAAATGCTTCTAAGATAGTGAAAATGGGTTAACAATAAACTGTAATATCTTGGCATAAATAATACAAAGCACTACGGCACAGAGAGCCAGCAGGAGGTCTTATAAAGAAAACACACCTTTACCCTTCATAAAAATTCTCAATTTTCTACATCTTTACTATGAATGAAAAAATTAAAAATAATCGAAGAGATTATTTTGTATAATGAGGAATGGAATTACTCACATTATCCAAGAATGGTGTGTCTGAATGAAAATCAAGGGAATTTAACTGACAGACAGACTCATAAAGATGGAGTAATTTCAGTTTATTGGCACAAAACTGTAGCAATCCTTCGTCAACAGACTCAAGCTCTAAAAGGTGGAAGAAAAAATACATTAAAGAGATATATTTAACAAACTTATAAAAAGGTCTTTCTTTCATTAACACTCATAGTATTTTATACTTCTCTGATGTTCTAGTCTATTAAATACTGAGATACTTAAGCTATAACAGATTACTAAGACAAAGATGATTTTTTCATCATGGAAAAATGTCCAAATTTTTTAATGAAATAAGGCATAGTACTAGTGGAGGAGGGGGTGGAGAAAAAGAAAAAAAGAGCTATCTTAGTCTAATACTCAAATTTTTAAAAAATGATCTGAAAACAGCTTTGAAAATATTCTCCCTCACCCCATAATTCATATGCCACCCATTCTGTTCACAGAGGACAGACAAATAGAAAGCTGCCTGGCTCTTGTTATCATGGTGGTCAAAGATACCAGAATTCAAGCACAAACTCTGGACTGTAACAGATTTATCCTCAAGGAAGGCTGGCAAAGAGACCAAAGTACAATTCTACTTAACATTCTCCATCAATCAGGCTTTTTTATTTTTCTTAAAAAAGAGAAATACTCTCTATATAATACATTCCCTCATGATAATTTAAATATTTATCATCTAATATAAAACAACTACTCTTTTAAAAGGCAGGGATTTTACCTCCAAGAGCTGGTATAGCTACAATAAAACTTAGCATATTAAATAGGTGAAATTTTTAGGAATCTCAATTATGGGTAGAACTTGAAACTGGTGATGATTTTATAGAATTCCAACAGTGGTATTTGGTTTACTTTTATCTCGTCCAGTGCAAGATAAATTCTGATTCAATAAATTTTGAGATTTCGGTAAAGCCTGGAGGGATGGGGGAGCTTTATAAACATACTATGCTTTTTAAAAGACGTATTTCTAACAAGCTGTATATACTAAAGAAATTCACTATTTTCCAAAAGTCAGCTTTCAATATGGGTTGAAAAAAAATCTCAACATTAGGATGCTTAAAGTCTTGAAAGGGGATACTATGATCTGTTTATTAAGCCACTTTAAGTTGGCTTAAAGATAAATATAAAGCTGGCTTTATATAACTAACATGACAAGCAAAAAGTCACAGCTAGATGAAGTCTGCACATTACACACTACAACTTAATTTATGTTAGGTATTGAGAATAAACTGAATTTTGCTGGGTCAGCTGGACAGAGTACAGAGTTAAAATCCCACAGTTAGAGATGTAGTTCTTTTTCAGACAAATTTTGAACAGTAAAAAACAACCAGCAAACTCAGAGCTAATAATTTACTTAGAGTCCAATTTTGGAAGTCCTTACTGTTCATGAGGGAAGTAGAGGAGAAAATGTGGATTCCATACAGTAACAGAACGTTAATTCAAAGTGTACTTTTTTTTTAAATCATTATCTCAGTCAAAACAAATTTAAAGAATGCTTCATCTACAGGAATCACTCTCCTTCCATAAAGCTAAGTAAAAGACAGTTTGAAAGCAAGAAAGCCCCACTGTTTTTTGCAGACCACCAGCTAACTTCCTCCCCTCATGCTGACTGTAACAAAATAACCACTTCTCACCATCCTATACCGGTGTCTTTCCTCAGGGTAGAAAGAGTTTTAAGAGAAATATTTACAGAAAGAAACAGTATATTCAGAGAAAGCTCAGATGAAGATCAGCTGCATACACCAAGTAGGGAATAAAAAAGTCTCCAAATACTAAAGGTATGAAATAAGTTTCCTTATTTCTTGTAGTATTTCCACATTGAAGTAACATGATGATATCATAAACAGGAATAGCTTTTTATAATCAGAATTATAAAATCTGAAGACCAGAACCTCCAATCAGTACAAACCCTATTACCTTGATTTTTTAAAGTGTCCATTAAAGTCTGAGTGATGTTTCTAAAGCAGGAAAATGGTAATCGTTCACTTGCAAAAATGCTTTCCAAGGCCTAGAAGAAAGATATTGGGCAATTCTAACAATCAGAAGGCAACGATTTTGTTTTTTAAATTTCATATTTATGCCAACACCTTCAGTACCCCAAATTTCCAAGGGAAGCTCCATAATTAAGATGTTTTCGTGTACGTACCTGAGAAGGAGAGTTGCATCATATCTATTATGCAATCAATTTCATCTCATGCACCTTATGGTGGAATGGCAAAAAATCCAGACCCAGAATGAAACAACTAGAAGGCTACTGGTATTTAACAGAATGGCCAAGATGAAACAGGGACCATGATAAAGCTATTCACCAATAAAAAGAGTGTAAGTCTACACTCCACGGCATAAATGAAAAGCAGAGGCTGTTACTGTTGTGTCAATGATGAAAGCTGACAACTTAGTTACTGTTTAATGACTGCATTTGAGCATGGCTGGGGGAATATACAGGCCATGCAAGGTATATAGATGCTCCCTACCTCACCCCACCTTCCTCTTCCTGCCCCTCCCCCAGCAGATACTTAAGAGCCTTCACCACCAATTCCAAAATCTCTCTTTATTCCTAAAGAAGCAACCATCAGAATCACCAATGGGTAGACACAGCAGTTAAAGTTCATACTTATCCTTTCATATTAGGCCATTAAACTGGCTTTTTATTGATAAGACTAAATAATTTCAAAAGTTGGCTGAGAATGTACCATGAGACAAAGACTTTAACACAACCACCTGTGTGTGTGTGTGTGTGTGTGTGTGTGTGTGTGTGTGTAGGTAAGAAATGGGGCTCTAAGGGTGGCTCAAGAGGGTGGTCAAGCCCATGATGAGGCAACTACATGGTGGATATAAAGAAAGTGACTGAAAAAGGCAAATACCCAGCAAAACGCAATTGTCTCTGTTCTGTCTACCACTTGCCTATTTATTCATTCTTCCAAAGCCTGAACTGTTTTTTCCCTTTAGTGTTAAAAACAATACACAACTTGAACTATGAGCTTTTCCAGCATTTTTTATAAAATTCATAGTTTCACACACAATTCAGTAGTATAATAATTTTTAAAAAGGTCAAGAAGACAGTCTGTAGTATGCTGAACTTTTCCAATTTTGCTGTTCCATGAAGTAAGACAAGAAAGATGGTATCAAAATGAGAAGCCCTGTTTGGGTTATAACCCTCCCTTTCTACCACAGGTTCTCTAAACTACCTCTCTTGGATGCCCACCTTGTCATAGGAATGTCATCTTTCATTAACTGAGACTTTGTCCCGAGAAAGAGGAGAACCAATTAGCCCTGTCAGCAGAATGGAAAGCTTGATTAGAAGTCACAGGGACTTGGGTGCCTGGGTGGCTCAGTCAGTTAAGCATCTGACTCTTGATTTCAGCTCAGGTCAGGATCTCACAGTTGTGAAATCGAGCCCTGTGTAGGGGTATGCACTGGGCATGGAGCCCTGCTTAAGTTTCTCTCTCCCTCTCCCTCTGCCCCTCCGCACTCTTCTTCTCTTAAAAAAAAAAAAAAAAAAGTCACAGGGACTTGCCAGTTCTACAATAAAACAATAAAAAGTATTTTTTAAAAAATGACTGCTACAGTAAAATAAAAGGGAATAAAAAGAAATCAATATTCACTAAATTTTTACTCCCACATATCTAGCATTATTTTAGTTGTTGTGGATTATGAAATTGATGTATTTGGTGAGGTCCCTACTTGGAGGAGCTTAAAAGAAGTAAAAAGGAAAAAATTGGTGAGCTAGGATTCATGTACAAGAAATAATTAGAGAACAAGTAGCCATTAGCTAACCAGTTCTGACTAAAAGCAGAGTAGGAGTTCAGAGGTATCCATAGGGATTGAAGTGTTGTGTAAGAATTTAAAGAGTTAGAACTTTGGGCGCCTGGGTGGCTCAGTTGGTTAAGCGGCTGCCTTCATCTCAGGTCATGATCCCAGGGTCCTGGGATCAAGCCCTGCATCGGGCTCCCTGCTCATCAGGGAGCCTGCTTCTCCCTCTCCCTCTGCCTGCCGGCCCCCTGCTTGAGCTCTCTGCCAAATAAATAAATAAAATCTTAAAAAAAAAAAAAAGAATTTATAGAGTTAGAACTTGAGCAGCATTATGAGGGGTTTGGAGAAGAGGGTGCGAGTAAAAGAAATCACAGTGAGTTGTCATATTAGAACCACAAACCTGGCAAAAAGCAACAAGTCTGCCAATACCATGGGATGCTGAGGCTGTGGAGGAACAGGCCCTCTCACATGGTACAAGTGGGAACATACATTAGTGCAAGTATTTTGAGAAGCAATCTTTCATCAACTAGTATAGCTAGAGAAGCTCAGTACACTACAATTCCCCTCTTAGGTACAAACTCAAGAGAAGCTCTCGCATATGTGCACCTGGGAACATAAAGATACGTAGTATCCTATGTACAAGGATAATCACAGTATCACTGTAATAGAAAAAACTGGAAACAACTCTAAATGCCCCAACAGGAGGAGAGTGAACCAAGCATAGCAGACACGGTACATGGCACTGTAGCTGCAGGCATCAACAGGGACGTCTCAAAGAAACATACTGTTGAAGGAATGAAGTCACAGGAAGGAGACACGGAGCATGACTCCAGTGACACGAAGTTTTAAAAGGCAGAACATGCATCGACATTCTAAAGGAGCCATACAGAAATAATACAACTATAAAAAGCAAAAGAGAGAGGGACACGTAGGGCTCTTCAGAGTTCGTGGTAACATTCTATTTCCTAAGGTGGGTGGTCACACATATGTGTTCATTATTCTTCTTTATTCTGAGTATATGTTATGTATAGATGTGTGTGTGTTTCAAACATGCACACGTGTGTATGGTAATGTTAATTAAAAAAAGGAGGAAAGGAGAGAGACAACAGGAACTTCCATATGTGAATATAAAAAGGATGTGTGAAGGGCGCCCGGGTGGCTCAGTCGTTAAGCGTCTGCCTTCGGCTCAGGTCATGATCCCAGGGTCCTGGGACTGAGTGCCGCATCGGGCTCCCTGCTCCGCGGGAAGCCTGTTTCTCCCTCTCCCACTCCCCCTGCTTGTGTTCCTGTTCTCGCTGTCTCTGTCATATAAATAAATAAAATCTTAAAAAAAAAAAGATTAAAAAAAAAAAAAAAAAGGATGTGTGAATAAAAACCAGAAAAGAAGAGGTTAGCCTGTCATGTTTGGAGGGAAAAAGGAAAATAAAGACCTTCTTAAGAGAAATATGCCCCAGCTACTCAGCAGGAAAGTTCACATATTATACATACTTACTTGTTTCTTGGTTGCAGGATACTTAATATCAAGAATTAATTCCTTTATTTGTGTTTCAACCAAATCTACAAAGAGAAAATTAACCAAGGTAAATTTTTCACTTTTATTACAAGGTAAACTTTATTCTGAAAGAAGAATGCACATATTTGTAGCTATCAGCCAGTCTCAGGGACTTCTGGTTTCTCTCCCATTATTGTTCTATTGTTACAAATTTTAGTATCTCCCAGAGGGCATGCCTCATATTTACAGAGCAATTCCAATTAAAAATATACATGATTACTTGCACCTCACCTTATTTCAAGGAGTTACAACAGCTCACAAATGAACTGAAATATTCTGATTGCTGCATTTACAATATGCTATTAATTTAGAAAATGACAAAGGGTATGCGTTATTATTTTTTTGCTAAAGGACGCGCACCGAGGTTAGGAGGTCTTGTTTTCAGCAGGACAGCCAGCTTCTTCACTAGGTGCATGTCCTTGGCTCGTTCGCACTTCTTGTCACTAAAACAATAAATACAACAAATTCTTACAGAATGTGAAATCGCTTTCCTTCTAAATCTGACACACTCCAACTCTTTTCCTTTATATTCTTCCTATTTAACTTTAAAGATATCTAATGAGGAAAAAAAAAACAACAACAAAATGGTAGCTACAAAACAAAGAGCAAAATAAGGGATGGAAAAGTTAGCAGAGGGACAACTGGATGAATCTTACCTCAGTGCTAAATGGAAAGGAACATTTACTGTTTTCACACTTCCAGACACTGGATCAACAAGACAGATCTGGTAAGTCTGTGGCTGCCAACTCTGACTGGTAACATTATTTAAGCCCATTATTTTATAGCCAGGATACAGAAGCCTGAGGAAGTCACAAACCAATATGGTAAGATTATTAGAGATAAAGGAGAAATGCCAAAAGTGCTTTTATTATATCTAGGGACCCCCTACATTACTATCAATTCAGGAGCACTAATAGGGCAAATAAACACTAACTGATACCAAAAGCATAAGTAAAATCCTGACTGGTAGAGTTCTGCCTTGTTAAAATGTGCTAGAAAATGGGAGGACAGTCAGGCCTATGTAGCAATGCCAAACAAAGCCTCACCTCACTTAACATCATCACCACAGGAATCTGAAGCAATCTCTCCTTTTGAGCCTCCACAACGTAAGTAAGGGATGGGGATAAATGGCAGCACCACAGGTAACTTTATTAAATTCGGTAGCATATCATGGTCAGTAAGATTTTTTGTTATTAAATACTTAATCCTTAATTATACAGCAGGCACTCGGCAGGGAAAACCAGAATAAAGAACACTGCAATTCTCAAACAACTTGCAACCTACTAAGCAGCTTTAATAAAGACTTGAATAAAAGCATTCCTTTTTGTAACCAGGAAAATGCCAGGGTTTGCAGCTTACCTGCAGTGCTTTCCCACGTTGAAAGCTCCTACTCGAGGTCCCTGCTGTGTGCTCCACACTTCTAAGATTCCCCTTCTTGGTGCATAGATCACAAGGAACTGAGCTACTCGGCTTGGACCCTGAGTATTTCCAAAGGGGGAAAAATCCGCCTTTTCTGGTACTCTTTCATGGAGGTCCTCTACAATTTGGATCCAACCAATCTGTCCATCGCGATACCCTTGGAGACCAAGGAAAAGGGAAGCTAATTAATTAATCTAGGTTTGATCACAGCTTTCTGAAGCATTGTGGGATATTTTAGAGAGGGGTTTAAGAAAAGCTATAAAAGTACATTATCTTTTTAGTATGAAATATCTTAAACAGAAAAGATAGTAATTATAATACTGAATCCATCACCAAGTCTTATTAAATCTTAGTATTTTGTTATATTTGCTCCTGATCACTGCTTTTTCTTTAAAAAACAAAAAACAAACAGGTATCATTACAGCATCATGAGTACCCTTCCTCAATCTCATTCTCTCCCCTCCTTCTCTTTAAAAAAATTATCTACCTTTAAAAAATCCGGGGGAGGTTATCAGGTTTGGATTTTAAATAAAAGTCCAAAAAAAGTGTAAGAGAAAAATCAACTTGATTTTCTGCTTTTCAAGTCCCTTCGGGTTAAGCAGACAGGGAGAATACGGTGCAAGGTGGTGGCAGGAAACCCCGGCCTGTGAGCGAGATACAGCTGACACTGTCTTCCATCTCGGGGGGCCCCTTCCACAGGCAACTGATCCCTCTCTTCCGAGAATGGGGGAAAACTGCACCAGCTGCAGCAGGAAAAACAACAGTACCAGCAACAAGATTGCTACAATGGATCTGGACCAGCTGATGTACCTATGTCTTCTATATTCTGGAAAAGTCTTGCTGAGAACCACCCATCATGTTATTTCAGAAGACAAACCCCAAGAAGAATGATATATCTGCAGCACTAAAACCTATCTCTATAGACACTTAAACATGTACCAGGTAAACACTGCAGGAATTCTCTGGCAAGAAGGTGACAGTGGTCTCAATCTGTCCAGAGTAACTTAATGTCCTCAAATCCATTATTCCTCACATTGCTCAGTACAGAACCAGACTGCATCATAACTGTGGTTTCTAACAAGTAGCCTGTCTGTGCTGACATGTTACTATTCCAGATGATTCCAAAATATGCATTCTCCTTTCTTCCTTGGTCAAAGAGATTTTATCTTTTTCAGGTTGACAGTGTGCCTACATATTTTCAAGTCTCCCTTATAGTTAGGTATGACTATGTGACTGAGTCCCGTCTAATGCACTGTAGAAAAAGCTTGGGAGGAAATCATCTTCAAAGTGGACTGACTCCATTGGTAGTTCTTCCTCTTCCTTTCCTCCTTCCTGGATTGCAGATAGGAAGGCTGGAGCTCCAGCAGCCATCTGAACCATGAAATAACCTTGAGTGGGGAAGCTCAGGAAGTTAAACTGGGTTCCTGAGGATGTCATGGGCATATTATATCAATCCTGAACTTGGGTCTTTTATTAGCAGCTAACTAGAGCTCCTAACTGACAGACTCCTAAGAAACTTAAGTAAATTGATCCAAGCATACAGATGTGGAAGTCAAGTCAGCAAAGATGGGTTTTTGCCATCTTTAGTTTGAAAAACTTAGCATTCTAGATTTGAAGAGAACATCTGATTTAAACATGACCTTGTGAAGTGGAATGAAGGTAACAGAAGCAAGAAACCGACTTCAGGACTTTAACAATGACAGTGAGAAATGAAAAGTACACAAGGAAGAGAATTAAAAGTGCCTATAAATTAATCAAACTTAAAGGATAGATCAATTGGACTACTAAATCAAGTGTTACTGACAAGAGTTCATGTTAAAAAAAAAAAAAAAAGATAGCATAAACATAACAAATTAAGCAGTGTAGTCCACCAGAAGCTGAAGGGTGATAATATTGCTCAACTATTGGGGTAAAAAGCAAATTAACATTTTTTTCTGGATTTTTATAAGGAAGTACCTTTCCACATGCGTATTGCAATTCCTCTAGCTACATCCAATAAAATTACTCTGCCAAAATCATCTGTTACTGCTGCCAGTGTGTTACATGGAGACAGACATATACTTTCACCATGGCGTCTAGAATCTGGAAGTCCAAATCTGTTATGTAAAAGAAAATAAAAAGCTCAAATCAAATTCCCATCTAGAAAAAGATGACAGAATCACGAACTGCATAAACAAAATAGGTCAAATCTGCTTTTATATAAAGAAATAGAAATCCTGCATGGGTTAATAGTTAATTTAATAACTAATTACACCAGACATTTTGCAACACAAAATGCCTAAGAAGTTTCTTCCATTATAAAATAAAAACACCTAAGTTTTATTTCATAAATTTTCTATATAAATATCCAATCTTATATTTTTAGAGAATATCAAGTATAACTATCTTTTCTTGATTAACTGTTATATCATAGGAAACAGTACCCTCATAACCAATTAAATTTTGGAATATTTTGCTCCTACACAGGCATCTTTGTCTAAGTTCATATTTCTAATCTCTTCTTTCTGCTAGATATCATATCCTGCTGACGTCCCTGTATCTGCCTGAAGAATTTCCCCTCTTCTAAATAATTATCTCTCAAATGTTCTTGGTCTAGAACCAATCTTACTGGAACTGTAAGATAAAAGGAAAGAGGTCCTCTGAAAGGAGAGGTGCACTCGTTAGGAGGGAAATCCCTGAGACAAGGTGCCCCAATGCTGTTAATCTATTTGGAAGCACAGAGCCATCTGGCTTACTTCTTGATTCTTCAGTGAATTTAGAAAATATCTGAGATGTTATCATATTTTTAAAAAGATGAAAAAAACCTTAGAGGCTCATCTTCAATAAATTTTAATAACAGATAATTAGTTATATCTCTTAAGTGAAGAACATCTACAAGGGGGGGAGGATTCTGTTTCCCTTCCTGGTGGTATTTTATATTAGGTAATAAAAATGATTTTAAAACAAAATCAAGCAAAAATCACACTCTCTCATCCCCAAACCTGACACATACACTATCCTCTAGGACAACTGAAGTAAATAAAAAAGCACAACCCTGCACTCTGAAGAGTGCTTGAATGCATGGGACTCCTTGTTTTTATGTTTTTTAAAGAAATCACTAAGCACTTTTTAAGTCTATACAGCTTACTGATAAACTAAGCTCTTTAAAAAATTTCAACAGCTCTCACAAAACAAATTTTCTTGCAACTTAAGCTCAGATTATAGGTATCTGTAAAAAATCACACTCGGCAAATACACACTGAGCACCTACTATAGGACAGGCAGGCAGCTGTGAACAAAACAGGCAAGAACCACTCTCCTCATGGAGTTTATATTGTGACAGCAGAGCTCCAGAAACTCATGAGATCGACCAATCAACTGAGCGCACTGAAAGACCATCAATTTAACAGCACACTCTTTAAAATACGAAAACCTGAGAGGAGCGTGACACACTTGCCTGACAGCTAACGGGGTGGCTGGCTCCACCTTTGGCTTTTGCTTCTGCACTGCTTCCTCTTCGTGCTTGCTTTTCCAACCAAGCCAACCACTGAACAGAAAGAAAATGGAGAATAAAAGCAGCGCTCCCAGCATTTTCACGTGCAGGCGACCAAAACAGATGGTAAAAGCAAGCAGATAATTTTACAGATATACAGGTAATATACAAACGACTTTACACGGGATTGTGATAAAATTACCTGGCAGCATTAAATAAAGCAGAAGTGAGTTTACTTGCGACCGCCAGCGCCACGTGAGACAGTAATGGTTGGGAGCTTCCCTGGAAAACAGGGCACAGGAAAGAGAAAACTGAACAGCTGACAAAGAAACAAAACATGCTTTCTACACAAGGCTTACTTTTAAAAGTTATGTAAAGCTGTAAAGCCTGGACTAGCAAAAATATTCAGCATCTTTCAGACCACACAGTAAAAGCTTTGTTTTAGGAGGCAGCAATATAATCAAAAGTTTTAACTCTACAGTTTAACAGTAAAACTGCTTGTTGTCTATTTTGTCTTCAGGATTTCCCTCCTTAAATTGTAATTAACTTAAAAAGTTTAAACTAGGACAGTAAGATGGCATTATTCTAGCAGGGCTATGGATTTCCTATCTACATACAACTGGCTTCTGTCCCTCTCTCTCTCTCTTTTTAATATATATTTTTATTAAAGTAAAGAGATAGTCTGGACAATTCTGAGAAGGCTGGTTTTTTTAAGCGAGAAATGAGAGACACCAAGTCCAGCACCTAACGGTCCCCTACCTTAGGAACAAAATCAATTTTCACCACTTACATCTACTATAGTCGGCAGCTTTACAATTCCTGATTTACTCAAATCCCTGGCGGGCTGACATTCACACCCCTGAGCTGCTGATGACTGCATCAATATTTAAAGACAAATCAACTAAGAACCTGGGGCATCAGAAACAGAGAAGTTTGTTTTACGCTGACTTTAGTACCTTCTCAGTTCACCTAAAGAATTTAGAAGAAAGTCAGTGGAGACCAGTTTTAGCTTCCAGTGAAACTTAGAAATGTAAACTGATGAATCTTTCTAAGGCTAACTCACAATATCCAATTTGTAGACAAGCTGAAAAACCAAGAGAGGCCTCACTCATGATCAGTGCGGAAACTCTTACCTCTAAAGCATAGAAGAAGCCGGTAAATGGATTGGACCCAACAGTGATATACTGAGACATGGCGGGTGGACTGTTTTTAATTGCTGCGTTAAATCCACCTATATTGGAGGCAGTCTTCATTTGGTCAAAAGGGGACAAAGTCATAATACCTATTTTAAAACAACAACAGCAACAACATGTGAGCGGAATGCACTAAAACGACGCTGTCATTTTAGGTCATTAAATTTTTACATCAACTCCATTCGAAGACGCAAACTGCTTAGTTTTATTTAACGGATAAAAGTCATTTTTAAAAGCTACAAAATCAATGTCATAAAATATTCGTAAGATATTAAAAGTGCCATCTATTCCTCTAAGCCATAAAATACTAAAAAACAAAATTTAAATATTAATTTTTTAACAGACACAAAATTCAAACAGTACAAAAAGTATAGTCTGCCTTACTTAGAGGTATCAGTCAGTTCTGAGAGGCCCCAACTGAGACAGTCTCTTATGCTGCTGTCCAGAGATGCTGTACATACATAAATGATAGCACACCAAGTCAATTTTTTCATTTAATAAAATACCAAAGAGACATGCCTCATTCTTCTCGATCACTCGGAACATCCCACTGTACGGCCATACCGTAACTGATCTGACCTACTGATGGACATTTAGGTTGCTTCCCATCTTTTGCCACTACAAATAATGCTACAGTATATACATCTTTGATATGTCTTTGTGCACCTACAGAACTCTCTCTGTATGGAAAATTCTTATACAGAAGTGTGGGCTCAGAGGGGATCACGTTTTTAAAAATTTTATTAAATACTGTTCTACTGCATTCCACAGAGGTGGTGCTAATTTACACTCCCACCAAAAAGGTGAGAGAGCATCTTTGCTCCCGTACCCCTCCCAACACAGCAAAAACAAACACTTTCAAACCTTTGCTTTGTAGTCCAGAAATCCCCCACCTTTTCTAAGGAAGAGTTAACTTTTCATTCCCCCAAGGCTCTAAGAGCAAAAGCAGACAGACTGAATGCTGGCACCCACATGCCTATGTGCAGCAGAGGAAAAACCAAGGTCATGTAAATTCACCTGGGTGGCAGGGAGAGAAAGCCGGAGGGGGGGGTAGGGGTGGGGGTGGGGCCGGGGAATAAGCTTAGAGAGAGTAAAGATGTACTGCTAAGATTCCAACCTATGTGGACTCAGGCACACATATGGTACCTGGGTACTCATATGGTACATGAGGATAACCAGTTGGGAAGTTCTGAACTCAAATACACTGTAGAATGGAATTTTCATATACAGGTGTTGCCTCTACTTTGTCTGCAAATGGTCAAAAACACATTGTTCCTAAAGAGTCCTGGAAAAGGAAATACTTTTAGGGAGTTCATGAGCAAACCATTTGCTGGACTTACGGATTAAAGTGATGAAATAACTGTTGCAGAAGCTGGACTATTCCAAAAGATCAGAATGCCGGGCTCACATTCATGAATGAATTCATGACTCAATATACAAAATGTTTTTACTACATGATAAAAATTTGCATAAGTTTGGCCTGACTTTACCAGAATGAAATCAAAGGGTGAATTGTGCTGCATATAAATCGGAATTTAAGTTTTAAAATAACTTCTCTCTGTACTCCCACATACGATAGATGGGAGTATAAATTGCTACAAGCTATCCAGAGGACAACTTCCCAATATGTATCCAAAATTTTAAGTGGGTTTATTCTAATTTATTCTAAAGAGATGGCTGATCAGTTCTTTCCATCCTTACCACTGTGATCTTCCCCTTCCCACAATTTCAGTCATCCACTTTCAGTGCCACACACACCCTAGATCCTGTTGTCAACTCTACAGCCTTTGAAACCTTGATTTCAAGCATACCACCTTCTGACGACCTCCTCTTAGCTTTCTATCCTACTCTAGTAACCCATTGTGTAATAATTCCACAATTTCATCAAGAGTTTCATTAATCCTACTATTTTTTCACTATCAAGCAACTTCCGCATTCACTTCCCTTCTTATCTGGCTTAGATTTGTGTTCCATCATAATCATTCTCTTGCAGACACCTACCTACAATTGCCCTGTGTCTCTCTCACATACTAACCTGGCTGAATCCTAACCTGGATGACCTAAACTTTCTGCATTCTCTGCTGTTTACAGCAGAACAGCTGAGTATTGCCAGGGGGGAGAAAATACACCTGGATTTCAGAGTAAGGCTCACAAACAAATGGGCATCCAAGACCAGCCCCAAATCCTACTGTCCTCCTCGACCCCCAACTCCCATGCCTCCGTGACACTCCTCTCCCACAGTCTACAGCTTGCTGACTAAACCCCTGGGCTGTTATCTAACATGCGGTCCTGCTCTCTATACTGTGGCCAAATGGTGGGATCTAGAGGACCGCTGTCTTTTGAGTCACCAATCTTAGCATTACTTTTCACTGATTTAAGGTAAATGAAGATATAGCATAATGACAGTCCCTCTTCCTCCCACCTTATCCTTCCAATATACACATATTTCAATTTTTTTATTAAATTCACATTCACTGTTTTCATTATTAAGAATGATGTAAATATTACTCACTGCTGAGATAAGCTGCCTACTGTAATTACATTTCCTTAGTTGTGAGGTTTTTTTGTATTTCCTGAACATCTGAGGCCTTTCCACACTTTGCAACACCTTAGTATAAATATTAACATAATTTATATTATAAATTATAATTTACAGTTTAAAATGCATATTAAAATATAATATTTATATAAATAGAACACTAATTTGAAATACACTATTAAATATTAAACTATTAAGTATTAAATATCATTATTAAAATATTTATATTAATTTAAATCTTAATATAAATTTCCATAAAGTCAAACTCATTGGATAATTTTCTAGGTCTATTACAGTAGACTACAGTAGATTATTGTAGACAAAGAAGACTTCTTTGACAAAATAATATTTGAGCAGAGACCTGAATGAAGTGAGAGAGCGCCATGTGGCTAGCTAGGTAAAATGTTCCAGGCAGAAGGAGCAACAATCACAAGTGCTCTCAAGCAGGAGGATGCTTGGTGCATCTCAGGAACAACAAGGAGACGAGCATGGTGGAACACACGGAGGGGGGATACTAAAGAAGATAAGGTAAAAGATGTACCATAAACCAGGCAATGTCAGGCCTGGTATGCCTCTGTAAAGCCTTTGGATTTTATTAAGATGAGAAGCTGCTATAAATAACATTTTGTGCAGAAGAGTGACAAAAACATGACTTACATTTCAAAAGGCTACTAGCTACTAACCGGTGAACAGAGTTTAGAGATGGAAGAAAGGAACCAGAAAGACCAGCTAGAATGTTTTTTCCCTCAATAGTTCAGGCAAGACAGGATGGTGGCTCAGACCACAGCGCTAACAGTGATGGAGATGAGCGGTGGTCAGATAGGGTCTACCGTGCAGGAAGAGACAAATGGGAGGCTGGATGAAAACATGAGAAAAAGAGGGGTCAAGGATGACTCAGAATCTTTTGGTGTGAGCAAAAAAAGAGAGGATATAGAAGAAAAAAAGGAGGAAAGGGTTCAGGGGAGGAAATCGAGAATTCTGTCTTGGATATGTTAAGTTTGGATACTCAGGTGGACAAGTTCAGCAGGCACTGGAAAAAGTATAAATTTTAAGGAAGAGGTCAAGACTGGACATAAAAATGGAGATGCTGTGATATAGTTTCTTGTTCTTGTGTTTCTAATTTTTGAAAGTAGGGGTGGAAATATTTCTTCTCCGACCTACTCCAATCTGGCTTTCATCCTCACTGGTCCACCACTTAAAGTGCTCACATCAGACTTAATGAAGAGCTCTACGTTGTCAAATCCAGTGGACCTTCTGCCTTTCTTGGATTCTATGAAGCATTCCACAGTCAACCTTTTCCTCCCAAATTTTTATCAACAATCTGGACTTCTTCCCTAAACTTTAGACATGTATGTCTAACTGCCCACTTGACACCTCCATCTGAATGTGGAATTGTGTCAGAAGTTAACCTGTAAAAAACATAACTCCAATCTGTCCGCCTCAAACCTCTTCCTTCTCCTTATTCTCATTTTAGTAAAGTTTGATCATCCACTCTTTTCTCAAATTTAAAAATGAAGAAATCCTTAAAATAAATAATAAGATAAAAACTAAGAAATCCTTGAATCTTTCCTTTCTCTTATTTCTCAAATCCATCCCTCTCCAAGTGCAAAATATATGTTAATTCTGTCTACCCCTCTCCAACTCCACTGCTCCGACTGTAGGCAAAGCCGTCATTCTCCCCTCCTGCAACAAACTCCTTCCTGGTCTTCCTGCCTTTACTTTTTATTTTACAAGCCTCTCTCTAAGCAGCAGGTCAGAAGGATAATTTTAAATATCCCATACCTAGATTCCATCAATGACATCCACCATATTTAGAATAGAATCCAAACTCCTTACCCTATGTGATCTGACCCTAGTCTACATCTCCAAACTGACCTTGTCCCATTGACCCTTACTCTTAACAATCAAGTCATTATGGACCTCCTTCCTGTTTCTCAGGACTCTGAGGCTCCACAGGCTTATCTTTTTGCTGCTTCCTCTGCCCAGAATGCTCTTCCTACACCTCTTCACATAGCTAGCTCCTTCTCACACCCTTTATATCTCAGTCTGAATGTCACTTCCCTGGAGGGACCTTTCCTCACCAGTCTACCTGATGTGCCCTCTCTCTTTACTCTCCATCATAACCCTCTGCTTATTTTCTTCATGATACATACCAACATTTTGATATTACCAAATTATTAATTTGGTTCCATTGTTCACTGTGTGTCTGCCTATCACCAGAATGTAAGCTTCATCAGGGTAGGGTCCTGTCTGCCTTGTATTTCTAGCTCCATTATTAATTAACACCTAGGACATAATAGGTATTCACTTATTTGTTGAATGAATTCATCAAAACTTTACATAAAGTTTTGCAAAATAAAGTCCATTGTACCTTTTTTTTTTTTTAAAGATTTTATTTATTTGACAGAGAGAGACAGAGAGAGCACAAGCAGGGGGAGCGGCAGGCAGAGGGAGAAGCAGGCTCCCCACTCAGCAGGGAGCCCAATGTGGGGCTCGATCCCAGGACCCTGGGATCATGACCTGAGCCAAAGGCAGATGCCCAACCGTCTGAGCCACCCAAGTGCCTCCCCATTGTACCTTTTTTTAAAATCATTTCGTAGGCTGGGAGATAAATGAATAGAATAATATTTTCTATCCAATCATTTTTCCTAGCCTGTTTCAATGTTCCAAAGTTCAATTAACAGAACAGGGAAGCTACCCTGAACTGAACTCAACACTTCGGAATTTTGCAGCAAAAGTAAAGACAAACTGTCTACCAGTAAAGTGCTGATTGCAGAGTATTCCACAGGAGAACTATGCAACAATAAACAAAGAGATCTGTGTGTCAGGTATTTTCTTTCTGACTCTTTGGATTCATATTCGTTCCTTTTCTACCCACCCACTCCCAGGGGCCAGTGTGTATACATTATGGTGACCTCCACTTGGGTTCAGACAATGGGAAGTCTCATCAGGAGAGCAAAGACAGAAAGGAAACTGAAGTCAGGATACCTATTTCCCTGTGACATTTGTGCAAAAGTCAACCTGCTCTTAAGATGCTGATTCTACTCGTCATCTCCAAGTTCTGGAACTGCTCCAAGCCCTCACCCTGTTTGGCCTAGGAGTGGTCAACAGCTGGGCTGCTAAGAAACCCTGAGATGCTCTATCATCCCTTGTGGTTCTCCAACACCACATCTTTCTAGACAGCTTCTCTATAAATAAAACGTGTTTCAATTGTCCTATTTCAAGGGTGCCATCTGTCTTCTATTAGGACCCTGATAAAAATGGGTGTCAGCAAAATTGATTGAAAGGCTCTTTAAATACACTGATTAGAAAAGAGCTATAATATAGTTGATATGATATAATCCTATTTTTGAAAACCTATTTCTCTATATAACCATATATATATTACACATGCATTTCACACACAAGTCTGTAAGGATGCTTACCAAAATGCCAATGGTGAGTATCTCTGGATGGTAGGGCTAAGGGGATATTTTTCTTTTTCTTTTTATATATTTATGTACTATTTGAATTTTTTAACAAGCATATATTGATACACAGGAAAAAAACAATTTTTAAGTAGTATTTTCTTCTCTGCCCCCATTTCTACTACCTTAATTCAGAAACTGATTACTTCTTACCAAGATAATTACAGCTTCCTTACTGTGCCTAGTTTCTAGTCTTGACCCCTATATTACAGCCTCTAAAAAGTTCCACCAAAGTGATTTTTCTAACAGGCCAAGTGGTAACACCATTCTCTTGCTCTGAATTCTTCAACGGCTCTCAATGCTGCTAGGAGAAAGTTCTAAATTCTCTGCACAGCATACAAAGCCCGTCAAAATCTGAGTCCTGTTTACATGCTCATTGTCAGTGGTCCTTAGTGCCCATTAGTTTTACAGCAGACACTGTGCTGCCACCCCCAGGCTGTGTACAGGTCGACCAGATGCCTCCTCTGGGCTTGTTCTCCTGGTCAAGTCCTACTCATTCTTCCAATGTCAGACCAGAGTCAGCCTCCTGCTCCCTATTTCCCTCAGTGTCTGGGGCTTCTCTGCTCCCATTCCCGCTGGTCCCCTCGTCCACTACTGTTGTAGTCCTGCAATTGTTTTCACATGTGTCTTCCAACTCAACTCACGCTTCCTGGATGAGACCATGTCTTTTCATTTCTGTGTTCCCAATGCCCAACAGAGTGAGTCTTCAAATATGCTTGCTAGGAGAAATCTGTTTTTATCTATATTCTGCTGGTCTAAAGGTTATATTTTTAGAAGACTGATCTATATGGTAATTACATGGATTAAACTTATCCGCAAAAAAAATTCAGACAAATAGTGAAAGACTTAAAAACTGCTCGATACTGCTGTAGACATAATTATTAAAACTGCTACCACTTCTTAAACACATACACCTATCATAATCCGTAAGTCTGGGGTAACTTCCAAATGTCTCACTAAAGGCGATGCATTTTCTTTTCACATAAGAATAAATGTACATTTCTAATAAATGAGACCCATCAGTTAAAAAGTAAAAAAAATAAATTGCATAAAAATTTCAACTAGTAATGCTTACCAATACTAGCATAATCAATAATAGTGTCAATATCTTGGAGGCCCCATTTCTTATAAGCTAACGGTGGAGGCTGTATGTTCTCATTGCCTGATGCTGCAGCTGTTAAAGACAAAAAGCAAACAATCCAAACTATAATGAAGTTTTACAAAAACCCATTAAAAATGGAATAACTTGATTTATTACTCTAAAGCTTAAATGATAATAATGAGGCAAGGCAATGTAAACAAGGTTAAAGTGAACTTTATTCATGCCAAGACAATACGTGTAAAATGCAAACATTAAGGGTAAGTTGACTGTCACAAGAGATTTTTGGAAAATTCAATGTAATTGGAGAAGGTAATTAAAAACCCTAGACTATTACTAAAATTTAAGGTGAATTCAAACTGCAACTGATGACAAATAAGCTAATTTCTTCCCCCTGAGAAAGACAGTGGATAAAATCCTGGGAACAGCTAATAGTGCCTTAACTTGGTGAAAAACTAAAAACCTGATGATATGCCGGGCAGGAGCGCCCAGACAGCAAGGTCCGTAAGGCAAGTAACCACGGCCAGCCTTGAAAGAAAGACACGTTAACAGCAATAGCATTGCCAGAAAGAATGAATAAAATGCCCGCCACTGCTCAGTATTTCTGCCTAATGAGTAATGAAAGAAAAAGCAATTATTACACTTCTTGCCACAGGATCAGGCACAAGGTCCTATTTATCAGTAAATTCTCATGCTACATATTAGAATATAGCTGGGGGCGCCTGGGTGGCTCAGTCAGTTAAGTGCCTGCCTTCAGCTCAGGTCATGATCCTAGCTCAGTGGGGAGCCTGCTTCTCCCTCTGCTGCTCCCCCTGCTTGTGCTCACTCTCTCTCAAGTAAATAAAATCTTAAAAAACAAAAACAACAACAAAAAACACCTAGCATACAAAAAACCAAAAAGAATACAGCTGGATTCTGGTTGTTTATTCTAGAAAGTACTATTATAAGTAAAAATATATTCCTCTAAGCACTTCAGATTTGACAGTAAGGCCAGGAAAAGAGAATTTCCCTATATGTGGAAATAAAAAGCACAACAATTTCTTGGCTATGCAATCAGAATTCTTTTTAGAGCAACTTACAATAAGAGGGCCCTAAATGGCTTACTGCCTTCCTAGGAGACAAAATGGTCTTATGGTCTTAAACATACAAATAAACAGGAATTCAAAAATAATAAAAATTAAATGGCTGACAATACCAATCATAATCATCTATTTCTAGTTTATTTCATTGACTGAATTCTTACCTGCAGAAAACTGCCAGGCTCTGTAGGTATACATATTAATGGTGACTACTTTAAGTGACCTCAAGATAATAATGCTTATTGTGCCTAAATTTAAATAATTTAAAAGATTATGAAAATAGGTATAAAAATTCAAACAAGTTCTGGCCTAATAGAAAAGTATGTAATATTAAAGACCCACATAACCAAAACTTCAGGATTTTACCAATCACATCAATCTGCAAACAAAACAAACTTTGTTTTAGGGCCATTAAGGCCCCTCTACCCAAACCCAGAAGAAAAGGAGGAAGTCTACACTAGTCCTGGTATTTTCACTGTGTTTAATTAAGGCTTTTCTAAAATTGGGATCGTAAAATTGATGATGTGTTTTTCTCTGGCAGTTTTGCTGCTTTGTGGTACATAAAATACTAGTGCATCTACAAACAATGGCATCTTGAATTTGATGAAATACAACTCTGCTCTGTATTCTCTTCCAAAGGTAAACTCTGAGCAGTAAGAGTAAGGACTCTTATTTGGGCCCTTTTCACCCCCAAGTCTGGAAATAATGTAGTTGTCCATATACACATTGTTCAGGCCTCTAACTAGTCCATTCAGAAGTGTTCCAGGTTAGCAAAAAGAAGCTGGTGTTGACTCCCTGTTGGGTCCTGCCTGCCAAGGGGAAAACTCCCCCTGCACACAGTGGTATCTTTACCCTCAGTGAGGATGGAAGCAATGTAGAATCACAGGATTCTAGCACACCAGCCCGAGAGCTGCTGATCTAGTGAGAAATTTGGTTCCCTTACCCCAATACGTAGAGAGTAGATTTTCAGTCCTTGCCTTTATCTTACTAGGCAATCTACCCAACAATGCACTCCCATCTCTACAGTAGCAGGGTTTTTTTCTGTAAATCTAGTACAGAGGCCTTTTTAATGTCGAGCACATGTTTAATTCTCTAAGTAGGTTAAATTAAGTAAGACGTTAGAAGTTAGATCCGTCTCGCCAAAAAATTACCTTTTGCTACCTGATTTCGACAAGCACGAAGAGACTGAAAAAGGCTAAATCCATCAATAGTCACAATGGCACCTGGATATAAGATACTCAACTCTTCATTCTATTAAAGAAATAAGAAAGAAGAAAATAATATATTTTCATCATTGCCAAAAGAACTTATCTACTTTTGTATTAGAGCTGAATGTCAGGATTAATGAAAAATAGAAAATACTATGAAAATATTAATGAAAAACAGAAATAACTGTCAACCACCCATCGCACAAGACATTATCAGGCAAAGGAAAAGTAAAAATAAAGGCAAAATTAATTTCAGAACGCCTTTTGCCCAAGTACTTAAAATTCTTTTCAAATACGCTTTTTATACATGATATATAATGCTTTCAGGATAGGTGGTAAGATTAACAAAAAAAAAGGACAAATTTCATGAAAATGAAATATAGTCATTGTGCAAATACAAACAATATATAAAAGTATACAGTATAATGTGCTTTTTATTACTCAATAGGTCAATGATATTTTTCCTTTTCAGTTAGTGAGCAAATCATTTTCTGTTGTGGCTCCGCAGTCCTGGATCATATGTTCCAAATTATAGTGAATGAGCTCTTAGTGATGGACATTCAGTTTGGGAGACACAGCACATCAAACCAATCTACTGACTGAGGCTCTCCAACAGCTTCTTACTGCACTCAGAATAAAGCCTGGCCTAGGGGTGCCTGGGTGGCTCAGATGGTTAAGTGTCTGCCTTCGGCTCAGGTCATCATCTCCAGGTCCTGGGATCAAGCCCCATGTTGGGCTCCCTGCTCAGCGGGGAGCCTGCTTCCCGCTCTCCCCCTGGCTCTCCCCTTGCTTGTGCTCTCTCTCTCAAATGAATAAATAAAATCTTAAAAAAAAAAAAGCCTGGCCTCTTTACCTAGGCCTGCAAGATGGGGTACCCATCTCTAAGGTCATCTCACCTCTCCCTGCCCGCCCCCCTTGCTCCTTGAACAATGACCATCATCATCTCAGTGCTCTGAATGTTGCCTGGACCTTACCTCCCAGATTGTCACCTGCCCAATTCTTCTGATCATTCAGTTCTCAGCTCTAATGTAGTCCCACAGAGAGGCTGCTCCTGAGCCTCTAAATCAAACAAGCACCTCCGTTCTCCTGCCTCATTATCATCTCATCAACATGATTATTTCCTTCCTAGCACCTATCAGACACTGGAATTATCTTACTATCTCTAGTTGTCTATTGCTGGTTTCTCTCCACCATCCCCAAACTAAAAGCTCCATGATAGGAGGATCCCTGGGGTGTCTGGTTCCCCAAGGAATTCTCAGTGGTTAGAACTGGGCTGGGCACACAATAGGCAGTAACTAAATATTTATGAATGAATTAATACATTTTCATTATTATAAACATCACTGCAATAAACATTCTTCTGTGTATATCTTCTCACGTTGCTATATATTTCTTCAACTGGATCTCTGGGTCATAGAGTATTCTCAATTTTCATTCATATTATTAAATTGCCCTCAAGAAAGTACCTGTCAGTTTACACTTCCACCAATACACGAGAGTGCCTGTTTCTCCATACTGTTGCTAACAGTTTTGTAAATCTTGATCTTTGTCAATATGAAAGATGAAAAGTTATCCAAATGTAGTGGTTTATAGTTCTTAGGTTATTATTTACATTCAAAATTTTATCATACGCTTTTTGACCAATTATATTTCTTCTTGTGAGAACGGTCTTGTCCTTTTTTCTACTGAACCAGTAGGCTGTTTCCATTTTTAAGAGAGATTTGTGGGCCACGAGGGAGAGGAGCCAGGAGAAAGGAGGTGGCATGGGTGCTCATGTGACAGGTTTGCAAGGCTAAGCTTGGATGGCCCACTGACCATGACAGCAGGCCAAGAGCCTCCTCACTGACTTGGAGCTAATCACCAGCAAGTCAGTTATCTCCAAAACCAGAAAGCCCTCCTGAAGAAGGTACTAATACGAACACCAATGGTCCAAAAGCTGCAGAAATTATGCTAGATGACAGAGACCTTTGTGCAGAAGACACAGAAGGAACTTCTTTGACATTCCAGAAAGAGGTCTTCTCTCTTTGGAATCGTTTGCAATGACCTGCGGTCACTTCTACTACACTCATTGCCCCCAGAACTGAATCAGGAAATCTGCTCTGTGATCTTTCGTAGATGTGGGAGTACAATGAAGAAGAAGCAAATAGGTACATTTGATGTATAAGTTGATGTATCAGATCCAAAGATACATATGTAGAATACAGAGTAACAACAAAGACTTCTGTCTCCTTTCAGTAAGAATTATTTTTCAACTAATAGATTTTCTTGACTCACAAATAGTATTTAAAAGTGATTTTTTTCCACCCGCTCTAAAAACAAGAGAGTAGTACAGACATAAGCAAGCTTAAAGGGTTTAAAGAACCTTCACTATCCAGAGAATAGAAAAATAAAAAAACAGCTCTTGAGAAGTATCTTTAATGAACAGATTATCTTCTTAGATTTCCAAGAGCTCCTTCTTCATTTCATTCAATGGTTTTATTTCTCCTATCTTCTGATGGTGAATATTATTAAGATTTAAGTTTTCGGGGCGCCTGGGTGGCTCAGTCGGTTAAGCGTCTGCCTTCGGCTCGGGTCATGATCCCAGGGTCCTGGGATCGAGCCCCGCATCGGGCTCCCTGCTCTGCGGGGAGCCTGCTTCTCCCTCTCCCACTCTCCCTGCTTGTGTTCCCTCTCTCGCTGTGTCTCTCTCTGTCAAATAAATAAAAATAAAAAAAAAATAAACAAACAAGATTTAAGTTTTCAGTCTTCAGTTGTATTTTCCTGTATCCTTTACTTGGAAGAATTCCCTCATCATCTAGGACTTACCACACTCTTCAATCTAGTCTCTGTACCTGTGTAGGAATTCTGAATCATTACAGCCGTCCTGGTATTTTCATTTTATTTCCTACCATCACCTCAAACTCAACATGTCCAAAATCAAATTTAATAACCTTAATTCACTGCCAAAGCAGTCTTCTCTTCCAACTTTGTCAGTGGCACTCCTCAGCACGGATGTCTTAGAGCCAACTCACTTTCCTCTTCACTAGGTCTTTATACAATAACCAGTCATGTCCATTGTTCCTGTAAAATGATTTTTGGACTGGTCCTTTCTCTCTTCACAGCCATTACAGAGTCTTGTCCTGACACTGCACGTCTGATACAGATAACTTCAAAAAGTCAGATAACTAGCCTCCTCGATTCCAGACTCTCAAACTCCAGTTCCTCCTGAAGAAAGAGTCCTTCAATATCCCTTTGATATATCATTTCCTTCTCATCTTCAGTCACTCTGCTCATCTGAATCAATTCTGATTTTTACTCAGCTTTCAAATTTATGAAAAATGTGGCCACTCTGCCTATTCAACAGTTTCTCACTATTTACTGACCTAGGTTTCTTTTGTTGTCTCATACACAGTCCTACATTTGAATCTCCCTTCATGGTTCTCCTGATTACCTAAAATATTTCCCCCTCTTTTCCTATTCTATAACCATTATTCACAGCTTAATTCAAATCTCGCCTGCTCAATGAAAGTTTCTTTTACTGTCCTCATTCTAATTGAGCTCCCCTTCCCCCACTTGTACAGAATCTATTCTGGCCATGTAAAATAGCAGTTGACTAGGTACTGCTTTGTATTATTGATTAACTCATTCAAAGGTATTAATAGGAATTAGTCTTGTCTCTCTTACTAGATTAAGTTTCTTCTACAGCTCCAGTCCCCATAGCTTCAGGCCATCCCTCATACAATTTAAGTCCACACAGGTACACAATACATGCATCTGTTTACTTTAAACCTTTTGGAAGCAGGATAGTAAAAAGAAGGCAGGCATATTTACATAATTTGACGATGTATACTGTGAGCCAAAGAAGAGCATATTAGTTTATGTGGCTCTACAATTTTTTTTTTTTTACTGTGAGACTATCAAATTCTCACACAGCACCTGCGAAGTGAAAACTGTACATTTGGAGAGCCTTAGATACGAAACAGAATCATTTTCTGTCCAAATCTTCAGTTCAGTGAATCTATTTTCCACTATAAACAAAAACTTCACTGCCTTTCTGAGAAACAGGAAAGTACAATGTAGTAGTAGTATTAAAAATAAAGCCAGAGGGGCGCCTGGGTGGCTCAGTCGTTAAGCGTCTGCCTTTGGCTCAGGTCATGATCCCAGGGTCCTGGGATCGAGCCCCGCATCGGGCTCCCTGCTCAGCGAAAGCCTGCTTCTCCCTCTCCCACTCCCCCCTTCTTGTGTTCCCTCTCTCACTACATCTCTGTCAAATAAATAAATACAATCTTTAAAAATAAATAAATAAATACAGCCAGAACTTTTTTCTTTTATTGTGTATAATTTTGACACCTAAATCCAAATAAAAAACATATATACCACATCTGTGTCTTAAGTCGCTCTCAAATTCCAACTATAAGGAACTCTTTTGGGCTTCTGACTAAAGTGTTTTACTGTATTGTGGAACAAAATGTAAGGTATTTCATTAAATAAGTAAAAGCAAGACTGGAGTTCTTGCCTCAGTTATAAATAGGCTGTATCTCTAGAACATAAGAGTACAGCTAACTATGCCACAAGACAAAGATACCTGTGAGTTTCCTAAAAAAGAGAGAAAACACGACTTCGAAGTAAAGCCATGGTCCCTCTGAACACAGTCGTTTATAAAGCTACCTGTTCAGTCACGCCAGGATGCCGTGGGATTTCAGAGGTCCTGCACTTCAGCTGTAGTGCTGGGTCTTCGTTCAGAAGCTGTGCAAGCAAGAGCACACCATTCTAGGAGGAAGCACAGAGAAGAGCCCTGCTTATTTCCTCATCAGTAGACCTGAACAGGTATGACCAGGCAAAGAGTGTCATTTCCCCCACTGTTTTCCATGGATATCAGACACTCTCTTTCAGAAGAATACAGCTTCTGTTCTCTATAGTGCTACCAGAACTTTCCACCACAACTCCCCCACCCCCCCGGGCCCTGCTTCCACCCTCATGAAGTAGCAACTCCACATTCCCAAGCGGCAGGTAATTAGTCACAAAGAAGGATAATGGGGATGCATAACTAGATATTCCAGCCAAGTGCTGTTTTCTAACTGCTCAACACTCCACTCACCTCAGTGTAGAAGCGTACATAACCTGAGGTAAAGCCCACCACAATGCAGGTCCAGTCAGGACGCCCTGTGGAACTCCTGTTACAAACAAAGTTTATGATCTTAATAAGCTCATAAATCAAAGCAAAGAAAACGAATAACTTATTTATCCTTACCTCTTTTGGCTTGCTAGTGGGATGCATAGAGCACTGGTTACACGTTCTCTAAAAATGAAAACAAAATCATATGCTTACCTGATGAATTTACTAATTACTTTTATTTCCCTATAATTTAATGTTAAAGGGCAACCGGTGGAAGATAAGCTCTGTGGACCAGTTCTATTCAAGGCATAAGTAAAAATACAGTAAAACTCCACAGTAAGTTGAATCATAAAAATCATTCACATGAATGTGTGGTTGGTTCGGCATCTGACTCTTGATTTCGGCTCAGCTCATGATCTCAGGGTCATGAGATCAAGCCCCCATGGGGCTCTGTGCTGAGCCTGGAGCCTGCTTAAGATTCTCTCTCTCTTCCCCTCTGTCCTGCCCCTCTCCCTACCTCGCACGTGTGCATGCTTGCTCTCTCCCTTAAAAATAAAAAATAAAAAAATCATTCACATGAAAGGTAATGTCACATTCACTTGGAAGTTAATAAAAAACAGTATTTTTTCATTCTGTGTTATAAAAAGCACAAGAGAAAGCAAAAACTTTACCATACACAACTGATTATACAGAGAACTGAGAACTAGCAAATCATCACCAGTCATTTCCTGCAGTACCCTCTATTCTGCATCAGCTAAGCACTGATTGGGCAGAGCGTGGGAGGAATGTCAGTCACATTTCAGGCAAACCATAATCCTGCAAGTACATATTCTAGGGACGAAATGCATTTCAACTAGTTGGCTTCTTCCTTAATACTTTGCAGAAATTGTCCCAGATAACCCATTTCCAAGCACATGCTTGGCTGGATGTTCCCTAAAAGATTCTTTTTGTGACACGTGGACTTGAAAAATCTGTCAGGAGCTCAGAGACTAAGCCTCAAAATTAAAATAACTCCTACTGACTTTAATTTAACCTGTCAACCCTCAGGACCCATCAATCACCAGCTTATTCAAGATACTATAAACACTCCTGCCTCATACATCGTATTAGGGAACCACTGTACAAAATTAATCTTTTTGTTTGTTGCCTTTCAAGTAATTGAGCCATTATGTTTGCTTTGCATTTCTGAAAGAAATTAAATGTCTTCAAAATGGTTAGACTAAATGACTTAAGGAGAAATATTATCATTTATTTTGGTAAGACAGAAAACATTCCAGTGAGTATCTATGATGTGCCAAGCATGTCCTATGTATGGGCTTCCACTTGGTTGTCTTTTATCTGAATCCAAAGTCTGAAGTATCTTACTCATTCTCATCTGAAAGTTTTCAGTCATAAAAATTTAGGTGAAAACAGGTTCCAGGTTAGCAGCTCCTTCATATAATCACACTAGAGAACCACCTTACTGGGTCATTTAGAAATGTGAATTTACCAACTTGCCTTTCTGAAGTACTTGTGAGTTTTAAGAATTAATGTAACACTGTCCCCTTTAAGTACAAGGCCAATGCTACCCAAGCAGAGAAGACAATGACTGCCTTTGACTTTTTGGATAAATAAAATTAGTAATGAAGAACACAGGAAACAACAAAACGAGAAAGAATGGGATTCTCTCTGAGTTCTTCTTTAAATCTCCTTTGCAAACAGGAGTTTAAAAAAAAAAAAGAAATCACATGAGTAAAATTTAAATTTGCTGGCCAAATCATGCTCTATAACCTCTAAGTTGGGATGAATAGTCACTAAATATCCCAGTGATGAAACTTCTCACTTATAAGTAAAACAATTTCACATACACATTTAATGCACAGAGAAACAAAAAAAATTAACTGGTACCTACCCTTCTTCGACATTTAAAGAACCACTCCAGCCAATAGCAAATTGCATTTCTTCCTTTCCTTTATCGCTGTATTTCCATTTTGCTGAAAAAAATAGGTTATCATATAAAATCACTTTAACTATAGTATACTAAACAGTGATTTATGAATTTCATGGTTTCCCTTTAGAATGTGTACAGAATGTAATTATTCTATATTAATGGGTTTGGGTAAACACAGAAAAAATTTTATAAGATTTTGATAAAACTCAACCCAGGCTACTTACTTGCCTTTAGTCTCTCCTTCCTCCAATTAAATTCATCTAATGTCCTAGTTCTTGCAGAATAAAGTTATTGATTCTCATATACCACCTCATCTCCCCATCTGTTGTATTTATAAAATGACTTTCATCTTCAGATGACAGAGAACACTTTTCTATTAGATTTATGCTATAGGAGGATAAACCTGCTTTTAAGACCACTCCACAGCCATTTAATATATGATCTGATTTTGATCAGTGAGGTTTTTCATCTTATGTAAACCTTAATTTTAATCTTCAACAAAAATTATGAGCTGAAAATGTATGCCCCAAATAAGAAACTAGAGTCCAATGAGTTTTCAAATTATAGTTGAAAATCACCTCATTCACATTATTACTAAAAAGGTGTCAGCAGCCTTTTTAGTTCTGACTGCCCCTTGCAAGAACTGGGCAATGATCAGTTTGGCCTCTGACGGGCAACAGAGCCACAGTTCAAGTATAAGCAGTCAAGAAAGAAAAATAGGAAACAAACAATAGAAAGAAGGAAAGAAAATACACACACACACACACACACAAATAAAAAATGTTATACAATATGTGAAATACACTATAGACTATAAGGCCACCATACAACGCATCCAACATAAATAACATTTTTTCTATCTAATCCATTTCTGTCCTACTCTATGCATTAGAATAAAGTACACCGAAAAGAGTACTTACGCACAAGAAAAACCGCTTTTTGCCCTCGAGCTATAACCATAAGATCATTGGTTGGAGACAGGGATAAAACACAATCTTGCAGCCAGGAAGTTTTTTGTGTTTTGCAAGTATTTCCTTCTTCTTCCTGTGGGTAACAACTTCAATTACAGTGTATGCAAAAATATTGAAAGTACTGCATCTCAGCCTTTCTGCCTTGAGGGACGAGGGGGAACAAAAAGGAAAAGGAAATCTTCCCATTTCTTTTTAAAAGTCTCAATAATATTCCTTATCAAAACATGTCAAAGACCCGTAAAGAAAATAGCCACCAAAACTAATCTCAGTTTTGAATATTAATGCAAAAAGTTTTAACATAAGCACATATAAACCAGTAAGACATTAAAAGACTGTCACACAGGAATCATTCCAGGAATGATTCACTATTAGGAAATTTAGTGAATAATCCAATTCCAGAGATACCACTAGGGTATCTGCAGCGACACAGCAAAGAAAAAATTACCTGATGCTTATGACTGTCGAATCTGTAAAAGTATTTGATAAACTTGATACTCTTTCCTTCATTTGAACTGGAAGGTGTTTTCATTTTTAATTGAAAAATTATTTATAAAATAACTACAAAGAGGACAATCCCCATGGTTAAGAACTCAAGAGATCTAAAAAGGTCTTCTTTGCAAAGTCTCTCTCTGACTCTAGTACTCTAGCCTCCTAGTTGTTCCCTCTAGAAACAACCAGTATGATCAGTGATACTTTGTGAACATACAAGCGAATACATGACTCCCCTTCCCCTCCCTTTTCTTATACAAATGGTAGCACATTATACACATACTTCTCTATACTTTTTTTCTCTTAACATATATCTTAGACTTCATTCCCCAGGAAGTTTATTTTTTAAAGGCTGCATAGTATTCCCATGTACAGACACACCGTAAATTATTTAACCAGTCCCCTATTGATGGACATCTGCGACGTCTACACTCTTCTGCCACCACAAATGATCATACAGTGAATAACCTTATACTCTTGTCAGTTTGTGCGGGAGTATATTAGTAGGATAAACTGCTACAAGTGAAATTGCCAGGTCAAAGGTAGTATGTGTTAGTAAATTTGCTAGATATTTCCAAATTGTGCTCCAAAGAGGTGGTATTATTTTATAATCTGATTAGCAAGTTTTGAAAGTGCTTGCTTCCCCCACAGACTTTTCAAAAGAGGCTTAAACTCTGGATCTTTGTCAATGTAACAGGTGAAAAACGGTATTTCAGTATACTGTCTTCTTATTAATGAGAACAGGACAAGTCTATTCCTTTCCTTTGCAGATTTCCTGTTGGGTTGCTACTCGTTTTCTTCTTTATTTGTATATATTCTTTACATACAAAGAAAATTGGCCTTTTGAACATAAGAGTTGTAACATTTTCCCAGTCCATGTGGTACCTTAATTTGCTCCATGTAGAAATTTTTTTAATGTTATGCAGGTAAATTATCCATCTATTCTCTTATAGCTTCTAAGCTTTATGTCATGCGGACTCCTACCTCAGCCCTACCCAGTGGCTCTTACACTGAATTAATCAGAGGGAAATGGGGAGAGAGGGGAGGAGATGCAGGCTGTCTTCTTCCTGTCTTTTCCTTTCTTTCTTTTTTCTTTTCCTTTCTTTTCTTTTCTTTTCCTTTCTTTCTTTTCTTTTCCTTTCTTTTTTCTCTTTTCCTTCTTTCTTTCTTTCTTTCACACATTTATGCTTTTTAAAAAACTTAGCAAATAGGAATCAAATTGATCTGGAACCTTCTTCTTATGCAAGGTGAGCAAGCTAAGGAAGCTGCATGCACCCTCTCTTGAAAGAAGAGGAAATACTGGAAAAAGTCCTCATCTTATTAAAGCTCTATTTTTCTACGGAATTTAAAGCTATCCATCTTGCTGTTAATGTGTACTTTTCTACATACAAATAAGGGAGAAAATTAATCCCCTAAAGAGAACACTAATAAGGTAAAGGTTAGTTGTAGTTCATTTCTCCCTGAGCCTATAATTTCTGTAGAATAGTCTCTGTTCAGCCTGCATGCACCCAAGACTCCTCATAGTGGCTCACTGGTGAGCTGAAGGCAACAGTGCCCTGAGTTCCCTGTCCAATAACAGAGATTCCACTTGTGCCAACTTTGAGATTCAGGACTTTTCAAGTGATTAGAGTAGCTCATCTTCAGGTAGGCGGCTAGAAGCAGGGCAAGTCAACACAGGGATATTTAAGTACTGTGAGAAGAAATCAGGGGTGCCTAAAACTCTTTCTAGTCTCTGACCTTAAAATTTCTATCTCAGGGCAATAAAAAAGAATCAACACACTGCTCCAGAAAAAGGATACAGCTCAAATTTTAGCAAGTTCTATAAATCAGGTTTTTTCCTTTTATCACACTTCCAAAATGATATTCAAACAATAGATCCCCAAAATTATCTAAAAGTTACTTTCCATTAAAGCACATTATTTCTGTTTCTGTTCTATGCTTTCAAGATAATGCCACTAACAAGGATTAGATCTACATGTTTATATTTGCTGAAAAGACAAAGAGTAAAAGAAATACAAAGATGCAAGGCATTTAAAGCCTACCTGGTTCAAAACCTCATTTTATAATAAAGAAAACAGGGTCTGGGGGAGGTTAAAGATTTGCTCCCCTGCCACAGAATCAGTGTCAGAACCCAACTAGAACCCAAGCTTCCTGATATTTAATTCACGTGATCTTTCCACCCCATCACTCTGCTTGTTCACCTTGGTAGATAGCTGTAACAGCTCTTGGAGAAGACTGTCTTCGCCTGGGATTTGACTCTAGTCTCTTAGTCAATGAAAGTCTTTTCTCAAAGGATTACCATTACTTATCACTGTATCCCAGGCTAACCTTCCCACAGGACACTACTTGAACAGGTAAGCCAGTGTATCCTTGAGACACTTCTCCAGGCACTCCTTCAAAAATACTTTCCCTCTCTTTTCTATCTTTCTGTCCCAAGTTCCAGTTCCTAACCCTCCATCCTACTCTGACTCTTATCTTCTTTCAAACTTATCGCAATCAAACATCTTACTATTCTCTGCTACCTACTGATTCTGTGACTGCATTTCTACCACACTAGACTCCAAGCCTTCTAACTGGCCAAGCCTAGGCTTGATATTACTCCTCAAGTCCACACGTTGCACAGCCCACTGACACACAGGTGAGTGGAAACAGCATTTCCATATCTCCTTTCTGGTATTTGCAAAGATATTGGAATAACCTACAATCCTGTATGCCACTGAGCAACCGATTCAAAGCTAGTATCCTTAAGCAATACATCCTTAAGTGATAGTATCCTCTGGAGTGTTTCCCTTAAGTAATACTAAGATTTAGCAGTTCAAGATTCTGGTTGACATACCCATGGAAAATACAAGTTAGAGAGATGTAAAAAGGGACAAATACTACCCTCTTAGTTGGGATGAGAACTCAGCTCTGTCTGCCACCATCCCAGCAAGTGGACTACACGCGTTCCCAGAAGCAAGCATGAATTTTGCCCCATAAGAACTAACCAAGATAAAGCACGGGAAACAGCACTTACTTGGACGCAAATTCAGAGAAACTACTCCACAATCACTGGTTACGTGCCTAACCCTGCTTAGCAACCTCATAAATGCACCTTTCTAGTAACATGAAGCCAGAAAAACTTCATGTGAATTAGCAGTCTACTTTCTAGCATTTCAACCATTTTCAGGTTTTAGTGAAAGAGGGAGAAAACCAAACTCTTTCACTCTTCACTGCACTTTCTTTTCTACGTCCTCTCTACCTCTCCATCTGTCCTTGGGACAGAAGGACTAAAAGTAGATCTGCCCTGTTTGCCACAGTAAAGTGGGGCATGTCCAAGCAGGAGGTCCACATTCTAAAAATAGGTTAGAAAATACTACCATATGATGATATTACATTATCATCATTAGGGTTTGATAGGCCATGCAATCCTAGTTCTAAAGTCCTGCTGTTTGGGCATGATGACAGCTTATCATGAAATGCAATGGTGGTGAGCTCTTAACACAAGCTCCATAGCTTCTTGACGCCCAGTCACTTGGGGCGGGGGTCGGAGGGGGCAGGGAAAACAGCTATACACCCACACAGCCACAAGCTCCTGGTCACATGCAATTCCAAAGACACTATTCTTTGTGCCTAAGACACAGCACTCAATGTATTAGACTGAATAAGATTAAAAGCCTCTAATGACCATAACCAAAAATAAGTAATATCCTCAAAATCATAAACAGAGGTAAAAATGTGTTGTTTCACCATAGCTGGTTGTTTCTCCATAAGCTTTATTAGCTATTTTGCCAAACAGTATAAATTGTGCCAGAATATTAGGAAGTAAATCTGAAAACTGAAAACCACTGGGAGGGTGGGAGAAGAAACCTTATATAGATCGAATTTCTTTCAATAAATCCTCAACCTCAATAAGAAAAAAAAATCCCTGGGTACATCAGGATGGTACATCAACAATGAACATGCTATATACAAAGGCAAATAAAGAACAAACGGATGGAGAAGGACGTGTCCTGAATTGTTCTACAGTGTCTGCCACTTTGTGCCCAAGCAACGGGGTATATAGAAATCAGGCCACAGTAAGGTGATACCTCTTCTCACAACAGAGAAAGTCTTCCCACACCCTCTTGAGTAGAGGACAGCGGGCCTATCAAGAGGTGTTTGGCACTGACGTGACTTTGGGTTTGGTCACCTAACTCAAGGGCAATGAGCAGGCAGGGTACTGGTGATTCGGAAGATGTCGCTGCAACATTTGCCAAACACTTACCACGTGCCGATATCTGTGCTAAGTGCTTGACACATAAATCTTAGTTCTCACAGTGATCTAGAAAGGTTATGTTAGTCCCTCCGTTTTGAGATGGAGAAACAGAAACTTACCAAGTAACCTCCCCCCGGTGACACAGCTGGGGCAGGGCTGTGAACTCAAGCTTCAGAGCTCACGGAAACTGCCACCTCTGAGCTGCTTCCCACTCCACACTGCCACGGGCAGCTGGTCCCTCGAAGGGAGGGACCTGCCACAGCCCCTCTGGATCTTCCCTGCTCTGCTGCTCTCCTCGCTGTTGCCACTGGGAGTGACCAGGGATGATGCCGGCCTCTGTGTCCAGA